GTTAAAGTATCTTAATTTGCACTCCCTCGAGAGACGTAGAGTGAAAGGCGATATGATAGAGGTGTATAAATTGAAGTCAGGGCTGAACAAAGGGACATTACAAAGGTATTCAAACTATCCAACCAGAAGCGAACTCGTAACAATGGTTTTAAATTAGACAAATTTAGATTTAGGCGCGAAATAGATAAACACTGGTTTGGTAACAGAATAGTGGATGAATGGAACAAGTTACCAAATATCATCATTAACTCGAATACGCTGGATAGCTTCAAACATAGGTTGGATGCTTATATGAGCAATAGGGGTTGGGTGTAAATGGGACTGCCCAGTATGGGCCAATAGGCCCGCTGCAGTTTCCTCCATTCTTATGTTCTTAATTTAAAACATTGTTACAAGTTCGCTCCTGGTTGGGTAGTTTGAGTACCTTTGTAATGTCACCTTTGTTCAGCCCTCACTTCCACTTATACACCTCTGTCATATCGTCCCTCACTCTATGTCTCTCGAGGGAGTGCAAATTAAGAAGCTTTAACCTGTCTCTGTACTCAAGGTTCCTAATGCCCGGGATTAGTCTTGTCAGTCTCCTCTGAATTCTTTCCAAGGATTCCATATCCATTCTGTAATAAGGTGACCAGAATTGAACTGCGTAATCCAAGTGAGATCTCACGAGCGCAAGATATATTTTGATAATCTGTAATCTCCGCTAGACACATCCTACAGTAAGATAAAAAAAACAAGTCAGCAAGTGTGGTCTGTCAGTGGTGGGTGATAGTTTCTCCTGAGCAGATGGGTTGATGGGTTGGATTAGTGTTTTGGCATTTTTTTACAAAGTCTTACCTTAATAGATTTAGGGTGCATGTCAAACAGGTTGTTCTTGTTTTTTCTGTTGTCCTTTGGCAGACTCCCTTTGCGCTCATAAACGGCTACGACTTCATCACAGTCTGAATCAATAGATTCCTCCATTTTGGTATCTGAGATAACACAAGAGTAGTTTATATCAAGAATATAGCTTAGCAATGAATCAGTAGTTTTCCTTGGAGCCAGATGTTTTCTACTGAGCATGGATGGGAGTCGAGCTGTGTTGCCAGTTGTGCGCAAGTTGCCATTTAGCTCAAGATAGTATGTGTTACGTTTTTTTCGTGATCAGAGTACGTGAGTCATGTTTAGTCCTTTAATTTATGCTTTATCAATAAACACAGTAACGCTTGTGATAATATTAAACGGATATTTATACTATATACATCACTAATAAACATTCTTATTATAATACTAGTCTGGCAACAATACTAGTGGTGTGATATGTATGTGTTCGTATTATGAAGTACAGTGGGTTTTTCTTACCACTGTTCTTCGGCAAATGAAACTTTAGATTAAAACGTAATAGAGAGAAAGAGAGAGATGGGTAAAAGCATTGAGACTAAGAAATAGAGGGTAAGAAAAATATAAAAAATATAGAGAGATTTAATGGTTAATGAGAAAGGGAGAGAAATAGAGAGATAAGAAGAAAGGGAGAAGAGGGTTCTGGAAGGAAAGAGGGAGAGGATGAGGAGAGAGAAAGTTAACGATGAGAGAGAGAAAACAATACAATGAGAGAAGAGAGAGACAGGGATAGAGAGAGAGAAAGAGGGAGAGAGAGAGAGCTGAAAAGGCTAATAAGAGCGATAAGGAATGGGGGAAATAGAGAGATAAAGAAAGAAAAAGAAATAAAGTTATATGGATAAAGAAGGAAAGGGGGATAAAAAAGACATGGGTATAATGAGAAAGAAAGGCATAAAAAGAGAGAATGATGATTAATAGAAGGAAAAAGATGTAAGGTAAGAGAGAAAGGAGAGACAAGGAGATAGAGGGAAGCACAAAGAGAAAGAATGACTAAGGTTACAGGGAAAATGAGTGAAAGGAATAAAGAGAGAGAGGGTTGAAGAAAGAGACAGACAAAAGGATAACGAAGTTGAGAGAAAATGGGCAATAAAGAGAAGGAAAAGAATAATGACAGAGAGGGGAGAGACGGGTATAGAGAAGAGAGGGGTGAAATAAGAAAAAATATGTAGAGAAGGATATATGAAGATATATAAAGAGAGAGAGAGAGAGAGAGAGAGAGAGAGAGAGAGAGAGAGAGAGAGAGAGAGAGAGGAGTATAAATACAGAACATAAGAACAAAAGAAAATTCGGAGTCTGCAAATGTAGTACCCATATTCATAAAGGGAGACAGAGCATCAGCGTCAAATTACCGGCCGATCAGTTTGACGTCAGTAGTGGGGAAATTTCTTGAATCAATTATAGCAGATAGCATCCGATCACATCTAGAGAAAAGCAAATTAATCTACGACTCTCAAGATGGGTTTACAAAGGGAAAATCTTGTCTAACAAATCTGCTAACGTTTTTTAGGAAAGTCTTCGAGGTAGTAGATAATGACGAAAATTACGATGTTATTTACTTAGACTTAAGCAAAGCATTTGACAGAGTACCGCATCAGAGGCTTCTGAGAAAAATTAAGGCTCATGGTATCGAGGGGAAAGTTTTAAATTGAATAAAATCATGGCTCACCGATAGAACGCAGAGGGTCAGCGTAGATGGTGTTAAATCTGAGTGGGGCAGTGTAACCAGTGGGGTTCCCCAGGGGTCAGTACGAGGCCAGCTCTTGTTCATAATCTACATAAACGATCTAGATACCGGGATCAGCAGTGACATAAGCAAGTTTGCGGATGACACCAAAATAGAGCGGCAAATTAATTCAGGCAGGATGCAAATGCATTACAGGAGGATCTAAATAAACTGCAGGGGTGGTCTGAAAAATGGCAAATGAAATTCAACACCAGCAAGTGCAGCGTACTTAATATTGGAAGAACAAATACTTATAATGTATACAGCCTGAACAACATCAACTTAGAGAAGTCGACTTGTGAAAGAGACCTAGGGGAAAACAGTGTTAATGTTCGAAATAAGGCAAACAGAGTATCTCGATTGGCGTGTCTGCCCTAAGTTCCTATTATAGAATGGATATAAATTCACTAGAGTCGTAGTAGTGAAGAATGACAAAATGATTCAGGACTTAGAAACCTTCCATATCAGGATAGGTTAAAGAAACTTAACTTACATTCCCTAGAAAGACGAAGAGTGCGGGGAGATATGATAGAAGTATTTAAGTGGGTGAAAGGAATCAATAAAGGGTATATAGATAAAGTTCTTATAATATCCGAGCAGGATAGGACTCGGAGCAACGGATTCAAGTTGGATAAGTTTAGGTTTAGGAGGGAGATAGGAAGAAACTGGTTCACAAATAGGGTGGTGGACGAGTGGAACAAGCTTAGCAACTTTGTAGTAAGTGCGGGAACTCTGAAAAGTTTCAAAAGGAGGCTAGATAGATTCATGGATGATAGAGAGTGGTAGTAACTCTCGACAGGAGCTGCCATGCACAGGCCAACCGGCCTATTGCAGACTTCTTATTTTCTTATGTTCTTCTTATGTTCTTATAGGCTGGTTGGCCTGTGCATGGCAGCTCCTGTCGAGAGTTACTACCACTCTCTATCATCCATGAATCTATCCAGCCTCCCTTTGAAACTTTCCAGCGTTCCAGCACTTACTACAAAGTTGCTAAGCTTGTTCCACTCATCCACCACCCTATTTGTAAACCAGTTCCTTCCTATCTCCCTCCTAAACCTAAACTTATCCAACCTGTATCCGTTGTTCCGAGTCCTATCCTGCTCGGATATTATAAGAACTTTATCTATATCACCTTTATTGATTCCTTTCACCCACTTGAATACTTCTATCATATCTCCCCGCACTCTTCGTCTTTCTAGGGAATGCAAGTTAAGTTTCTTTAACCTATCCTGATATGGAAGGTTTCCAAGTCCTGGAATCATTTTCGTCATTCTTCGCTGCACCGACTCTAGTGAATTGATATCCATTCTATAATAAGGGCACCAGAACTGAACCGCATAATCGAGGTGCGGCCTGACTAGCGCAAGATATAAGACCTCTGCACTCTTATTACTTACACTTCTAGATATAAAACCTAATACTCTGTTTGCCTTATTTCGAAGGTGTAGCGTAAGGGCCGCCCTTGCTGTCACGCCAATGACACACGTTCCAACAGGAAGGCACAGAAGTTTGTTCTTGTGTTTATAACTCCTGTGTAAACATAATTGCTACACAATTAGACAGGCCAACGGTCCTTACCCTGCAAGCAGGCGTCCCGCTGTGCCTAATGCTTATTGTCACTGGCTCTGCCTGCAATATTGTGCGACCATTCACAATGCAGATAGGAGGCGTATGATATTTGGAAAAGCCTTAGTGATTGGAAAATTAAATACCTGTAAATTACCTGTAAAACATATGCAGTTGAAGCTGGGTGTATGTTAGGTGGGGACAAAAACGGCAGCCGTAGTACCGTGGGGTGGCGGTGATGTAAGTCGACAAAGGCACTCTGGTGACTACAGTCCTCCACATTAATTTTTCTTGGGGACCCAGTTTTTAATTTCATTCACTCATCCAAGTCTCTACCTTCCCCTGGCCTTCCTATCCTCAACTTTACCCACTAACATTTCACTTATTATCTCCTCATCCCTAATTATATGACCAAAGTTTCTCATTTTCCTTTTCCTGTAAACTTCAAGATAACTTAATATATCGTAAGCTTTAGGTGCTCTGCTGTCTGCTGTATTACGTATCGATAGAAGTTGGACCATTCAGGTTTATATCCTGTGAACATCATAAAGGTATATTTTACAAGTCATGTGTGACTCGTAAGATTCTCATAAAGTATAAATTTGAGTAACTGTTTTTTTGGATACTTTTAAAGTGGTTATAGAAAATTACTTGTGGCAATTAATTCAACCCCAGTCCCATAATCACAATCCACGTATCTGAGGGAGCCACTGTGTTTACAAATCATAAGCCTACAAGAAACTAAACGTTACATATATTCAGTAGCCAATATATAAACCTGGTCCAATTGACTCTTTGAGGGAGAAAATACTTAGGAAGAATGACAGCACCAACGTATAGATAAACAATAACATTTATTTGGTATATTTCGATATTATTTAACCTGAAATCGAATACAGTAGCATCAGTATTAAGACCTTAGTATGAGAAATAAAATGAACTGCAACATTGGGTACATTCTAACTTTACGAAAAAAAATTCATTACTGAACATTATTGACTGCTAAAATTAATACTTTTAACAAAAAAATTAAATAACAGAGTAGCAGAAGCTTGGAACCCCGTATCATAAAATGAATATTCAAAGGCAAGTGTTACCAGTCGGAACATTATAAAGTATACCAGTGTTGGGCAGTACTGACCTGTAGTATAGTCATTTGGTTTGCTCGATACAATTCATCAGGGATTCAACTTTTAAAACTACGTATACCACTTCTACGGTGTTCTCTGATCTGAATACCAATCTCAATATGAACTGTATTCCTCAACTGTTTATTCTTTAAGTGTAGTGACAGAAATACACTGTATATCTCCCAAACGACTACTACAGGTCAGTACTGCCGAACACTAGGGTCACTTGTTCAGATTATACAGTCTTTAGCACTTTGTAACTGGTATACAGTATAATGTATAATGGTATGATGAGACATCTGACCGAAGCTCAAGGTAATATGATGAAAAAATCAGTCCTACTCAAGGAATTCAATAAATACTAAAATATTATTGATAAACCAAGAATTATTTTGTGCAGCATAAGTGTTATAGGCATAACACCAGGTAGTTTAATGAAGCGGGGTTAATATAAGTGGTCGCAATGCGGCTTTCGCTGGTTCATGTCACGTTTCATATGTTTTTCACTTTTTATATGAAAATATAAAATATATTTGATTTTGCCTAAAGTTATACTGCATTTAGAAGTATTCAGTTAACCTTACTTTATAACTAAGACCAAAAATAAATAAGAAATCATTGCGTTCTACAAAGCTCATTCCTACGTTGGCGGTTTTGGAAAACGTGTGAAACATAAAACATTACCATCAGGTTCTCATGAACACAAATTGTACATATAGGAAAGATAGGAGCAGGCGGAAAGATTCAGTGTATATGGCTGGGGTAAGGATGACTTATCACCTCATCCCTTTGAGATGTATTATTTTAACTCAATAATCGTATCACTCAATCATTCCAGAGTAAAGAAAAAAGTGGCTATATTTTCCGGACATGCATTCCTCCGCCACGATGTATGAGGCATCATAGACAATGTACCTCAAAGCCACATCAAACACAATTTCAGATTTCAAAGTTAAATGATTATTTCAATAAATATAATTTGAAACCCAACCAATGTCTTTATCTAGAGAAATTTACATGACGTCGGTCGTTCTACTTGTCACAGCGTTTCACATGGTACAGACCACTAATTTGGTATTTCTTCAGGAGCGCGGTAACTTTAATTGACTGGATGTACAGTCAACCAAATATGCACTAACTCCACTCTGGGTCTCTTAAACGCAATCTAATCACTGTCAGGATAAATATTAAACAAAATAAAGTTAATATTTTTATAATAAACTATTCATCATTATTTTAGATCATGAGATATTTCCAAAATTTCGTAATTTAATTAAATAATGAAGAAAATTATATTAATGAATTAGCAGCTCAATTGCAACCACAGCTGCCACAAAATTCTCACATCAAATTTTCTTAATTATCTAAAAAAATATACGAACATTTGGAAACTTCTCATGGTCTAAAATAATGATGAATAGTTTATTATAAAAATGCTACCTATGGTATGTTCAATATTTATCCTGACAGTGATACAGCCCAAAATAAATCCACCAATCACAATCACCATTACATCCAACTTTACCAAGTATTGCCAGGTAAAATTGCGAGTACGAGGCCGAGGGTGGGGATGAGACATCTTCGGTTAACTGTACCGCACCTATTTAGTATTTACGTGTAAAAATCTAATATTTAAGTGCTCAGTTTTTACGATATTTCAAGGAAGTTTTGTTTATTTGGAATTGGTGAATAAATACTCCAATATTTTGAGTGAGAACTATATTAGTTTTAAGATTCAAACCGATAACGTTTTCGTACCTTCCATGATATTTCCTGTACTGTCGCTTATCTTGCTCCCAGGTTGAACTCCGTAATGGGAAAGTTATGAAAAGCACATATTCAACTAAAGAACATATGTATGAAGGCCATTGTATCCCAGAGGATGGAAAAAAAAGCTGAGGAAGACCATAAAGAGTATAGCTATCCCAAGTTATGATGAGTAAGTTAATGTGCAATACATAGTTGTCTCAAAGACTAATCATGTAAAACCCATTTCTCTTGTCCCGTGGGGCTATAGATTTATGCTAGATGGTGACGAGAGGTTAGAAGTGAAACAAACTGCTATTGATTATGAAATGTTTTTAAAATCAGGAAGAGCTGTAATATTCCCTTCTCCTGCCATTATACCAAGCCAATCAGCTGCACCTTTACATGGATTTTACATTAGTTTACGTTACGTTGCTTTATGTTATTTTACGTTATGTTAGTGTTAGGGTGTTTAATCCTCACGAGAAATAATATGGGGTGCCCAATCTTCGCGTGGTTATATTTTTCAAAGCAGGAGGAGTAATTTGTCCATTAAAAATGAAACCATGTAAGAACAACACTCAATCTACACATGAAGTATCCGCTGATGCTCTCTTGTTTTGTTTTCCATCTTGAAGGCTGCTGAAGGGGATCACGACCTCCAGAGATAGGTGATGATGACAACTTCTACTGTACAGTAGTCCACCTCACTTGGTGCTGTTGAAAAACAAATGTTTCTTTTAAAAATTACAGGTTTGTTTGTACTGAAGACTTTATCAAATAAAACGATTTCTTTTTAATAGTCAATTAAGATTTAAAAAGCAAGCAATTGGTGTTTTATTTTCTAAAATAAGAATATTTTTATTGTTACACCGTAGCGGAAATTAATTCGTGAATGGTAAAATTGGCTTTCGTTCATTTAAGACGCCGCTTACCATCGTATGGTAGCCAAATTATGCCTAACCTAGGTAAGTTTTAACTTTTGTATCTACGAAGCTATTCACGTGTGTCTATTATAATCATATGTATGATCATCTTTCGCAGGTCAGAAATTTACTAAAGGAAATGAATCAAGATATAGCTGTTTTGCTATTATTCTTATAAGCATTATACAGTGTGCGTATATATCACAACAGCATATGCATTGAAAAAATCTATAAAACCATTGAGTTGAATTTTGATATATTTCACCAGAAAGTTTATTTAACATAATTCAGTATTTTCTTCATCATTCTTCACCCACACCTCCCCCTCGGAGGCTGGGCTCTTACTGAAAAATCCTGCATTCACTTGATTTAACTTTCGAGATGGGATTAATATACATGAGAATTACCGCTTTGCTGCAATTATCCAAAGGGCAAATGATAAACGGTAATTTTTATCATCCGAATAAGACGTTTGCCCTAATGTGGATAACATTGGGATTCGTTAACATAATGGAAGATTGTTCATGCGAACAAAATAAGGCCAATGCTTTTTAAGGTCACCCTGTGTACATAAGCTCTCTCTCAGTCTTTGTAATTCAGTTGCCTCCGATGATGTCTTGAATAAAGACGAAAGCTTAGGTGCTCCACTGATTCCCCTTTCTTGTGTGGTTTTATCGAGATTTATCTTATCCACGTTTTCATTGTGAATCTACACTTCAAAATAATAAACCTATGGTCCTAGCTAGTTAAACGGGGACCACGTATCTCACAACAAATGGGAACTTAAGGATTTACCAAATAGAATACACCAAAATACGTGCCAAGTCGCCACCACAGACGTCCCACACCTCCCTACACAAAATTCCAACTCAGCCTACAAAAGACGCCACAACTTTCATGACGACACGCCTCATAGGCTTTCTCATTGGTCGAAGACAGGCCTAAGGCCTTCATACTATTGGCTTAAAATTAGCGGGAACTCTCAAGTGGTGGGAAACTCATGACATTCTTACAATATATATATATATATATATATATATATATATATATATATATATATATATATATATATATATATATATATATATATATATATATGCAATAAAATCACTGTAGGTGCGCGTGATCCAGGTATATGCTGATAACCACAAGGAAAAAGAAAACACGAAGTAACCAAGCGCTTTCGTGTAATTCACATCTTCAGGGGTGAGTACAGACTAAAATAGAAGTGCAGAACAAGTTATATAAGAACATAAGAAAACAAGGAGTCTGCAATAGGCCGGTTGGCCTGTGCATGGCAGCTCCTGTCGAGAGTTACTACCACTCTCTATCATCCATGAATCTATCCAGCCTCCTTTTGAAACTTTCCAGAGTTCCCGCACTTACTACAAAGTTGCTAAGCTTGTTCCACTCGTCCACCACCCTATTTGTGAACCAGTTTCTTCCTATCTCCCTCCTAAACCTAAACTTATCCAACTTGAATCCGTTGCTCCAAGTCCTATCCTGCTCGGATATTATAAGAACTTTATCTATATCCCCTTTATTGATTCTTTTCACCCACTTAAATACTTCTATCATATCTCCCCGCACTCTTCGTCTTTCTAGGGAATGCAAGTTTAGTTTCTTTAACCTATCCTGATATGGAAGGTTTCTAAGTCCCGGAATCATTTTTGTCATTCTTCGCTGCACCGACTCTAGTGAATTTATATCCATTCTATAATAGGGGCACCAGATCTGAACCGCATAATCGAGGTGCGGCCTGACTAGCGCAAGATATAGTTGCAATAAGACCTCTGCAATCTTGTTACTTACACTTCTAGATATAAAACCCAATACTCTGTTTGCCTTATTTCGAACATTAACACACTGTTTTCTAGGCCGTAGGTCCGGGCTTACAAGTACCCCTAGGTCTCTTTCACAATTCGACTTCTCTAGGTTGATGTTGTTAAGGCTGTATACATTATAAGTATTTGTTCTTCCAATATTAAGTACGCTGCACTTGCTGGTGTTGAATTTCATTTGCCATTTTTCAGACCACCCCTGCAGTTTATTTAGATCCTCCTGTAATGCATTTGCATCCTGCCCTGAATTAATTTGTCGCCCTATTTTGGTGTCATCCGCAAACTTGCTTATGTCACTGCTGATCCCAGTATCTAAATCGTTTATGTAGATAATGAACAAGAGTGGGCCTAGTACTGACCCCTGGGGAACCCCACTGGTTACACGGCCCCACTCAGATTTAACGCCATCTACGCTGACCCTCTGCGTTCTATCGGTGAGCCATGATTTTATCCAATTTAAAACTTTCCCCTCGATACCATGAGCCTTAATTTTTCTCAGAAGCCTCTGATGCGGTACTCTGTCAAATGCTTTGCTAAAGTCTAAGTAAATAACATCGTAATTTTCGTCATTATCTACTACCTCGAAGACTTTCCTAAAAAACGTTAGCAGATTTGTTAGACAAGATTTTCCCTTTGTAAACCCATGTTGAGAGTCGTAGATTAATTTGCTTTTCAGCCTTTTCTCTAGATGCGATCAGGTGCTATCTGCTATAATTGATTTAAGAAATTTCCCCACAACTGACGTCAAACTGATCGGCTGGTAATTTGGCGCTGATGCTCTGTCTCCCTTTTTGAATATGGGTACTACATTTGCCTGTTTCCACAAGTCTGGCACAACTCCGGTGTCTAATGATTTTATAAATAAGTTTACGAGGGGTCCGCTAATCTGTTCCCTACACTCTTTCAAGACTGGAGGGAAAATTTCATCCGGCCCTGGGGATTTTGTTTTCTTTAGTTTATTTATCTTCTTAAGAACATCCTCTTTTCTGATATATATACAGAGGAGGGTTAGAACAAGTCCACAGAGGTCAAGTATAGGTAATGACCCTACTAATCTTTACAAAAGCACCGCAGCGGTCGGTAGTCAGGTCAGAGGAAAAACTGACCCAACCTTCTCACCTGGTTACAAATCTTCTTAATTACAAAATTGTCCAATTTGTACATACCATTACTCAAATTCATGTTAACGGATTCGGTATGTTTAATGAGACTAGATTCTATGATGTTCCTACTGTCAATTGAATTACAAGGTAATATTGAGGAGGCATTATCCCAGTCAATGCAATGTTTATTATCCCTCAAATGAACGAACAGAGCATTGGATTCCTGGCCTGTCCTAACACTGTATTTATATTGTTTAAGTCTAGTTACAAGATCTTTACCTACTTGGCCTAAGTAAAACTTATTACATTCCTTGCAAGGGACTTTATAAATGCAGCCATTTGTATTATTGGTGGAGTTCTTGATTAACATTTGTTGAACAGTGCATGAGTTTTTAAATGCCACATTGACGTTCCAGGTTTTTAGTTGTAAAGGAATTTGAGAGAAATTTTTGTGAAATGGTAATACTAAGAGATTCTTATGGTCATGGGTGGGCTTGGGATCAGTTCTATAAAAAGATTTCTTAGTAATGTTCAGGCATTTGTCTATGAAAGATCTAGGGTATTTAAGGTTCAAGCCAATATTATAGATATATTTATATTCCTCATCAATGAATTCCGGGCTGCAAATTCTCAAAGCACATATAAACATTGATGAAAATACTGACTGTTTGACTCTATTATGGTGGGCAGAATAATAATGAATGTATAAACACACATTATTAGGTTTTCTATAAATACTGAACTTAAAGGTGTTACCTATTCTGTGGATCACACATTCTAGGAATAACAATTTAGTCTTGCTCTAATTCCACAGTGAATTTGATCGAGGGGGCTAAGTTACTAAGTTGTGGCAGGAAAGCTTTTAGGTCCTCATTACATGGCCAGAGACATAATACATCATCTACATATCTAAACCAGACTGCTGAAGGTGGTAAAATATTACTTAATAGTTTCTTTTCAAAGAATTCCATATATAGGTTGCCTAATACTGGTGAGAGTGGATTACCTATTGCCATACCAAATTTGTGAGCATAACCTACAGTGATTTATTTGCTTATATATATATATATATATATATATATATATATATATATATATATATATATATATATATATATATATATATATATATATATATATATATATATATATATAGATGTGTGTGTGCAAATAAATCACTGTAGGTGTATAAATGAGGTAGAAAGTCAGATAGTAAATCATCCACTTAAATTGTCACATTTTTTGCTGGTTTATGAGTTCAAATTATTAGTACTGGTATGTGTTTATATACAGTACATTACAAAATTTATAAAACTATGTTTAATTTAGATTAAATTGAAATTCTCCAACCTGATTATTTTGTGAAACACAAACTTGGGAACAGAAGCATTTACACATACATTTGCCCCTTTCATGATTTCATTTCAGTATCGGATGTTCCGGAATTTTTTTTTGTAAATTTGTGAATTTTCAAGACATACGAGGACATTATAAACTTTGAGGTAAACTTACTTGACACTACAATAAGGAAGGAAGGTGATGCCGCAATTTTCTTCTATGTAATTCAGAAGAGTCTTCTCGTGTTGACGCTGTCCTTCAATCACCTTAGCCATACTGTCTTTCTCTGCCTGTAGTTGTCTTATGGTAGCCGCCTGGTGGTCTATCAACTTCTTGTTTTTTTCTCTGTTTTTCTTGGCCCTGATAGCATCTAGTCTCTTTCTTTCCTGGTTTTCATCTTCGTAAGGTACCAGATGATCGTACAGCTTTTCTCTTGTTGAGGGTAGTTTCCTCTTACGACGACGTAATGACCCTTTTGCCATGTTCGTCCCACTCATGCAGTTAATAGCAATTGGTGGTTCTGAGTTTATAGTAGGCTGAATGATGTCCGCACTCTCCCTAATGTCTTTAGTTTCCCTCACTTGGGAATCCATTGACTGCAAGACAAGTAAGGTACCAGTGTTGTCTGCAACTTGGAGTCGTTCCTCTAATATATTTTGTGTATTTATTTCAACACTATTTGTACATTTTCCGGTTGAGTCTAAGTGATCGTCAATACAGTTGACTGTTCCATCTTTGGGCTGTGCAGTGTTAGGTTGAGAAGTATCAGAGGACTGTTGTATAAATGAGTCAGCACACATAGCTCCCAGGTCATCATTTGGGATGTTAACACAACTTAAAGATCCGAATTGACAAACTTCTTTTTCTGTGTATTTTTCATGACTTCCTAGTGTTTCAAATGGTGAATGAACTGCTTGCTCAGCAGCATTTTCGATGGTGCTAAATGCTTTACTCCCACCTATTTTCTGCATGTGGTAAACAAAATTCTGAAAATCTTCCAGGTTCACCGAATTTAGATTACACACAGTGTCGTCTTCAACGTAATTTAAGGCTTGGCTTCCTGATTTTCCATTATCTAACTTACAATTCATAATCTTGTTTCCCGAGGTTTGATCGACAGTAACTGTCGATGCATCGTTGGACAGAGCCTTTGTATCTCCGCCTGAAATTACAGCATTATGCAGGAGCTGTGTGTGAGGCTGTAACTGGTCTCCTACAAAATTAAATGCTTGAGCTTGAGCTGTTTGAGGCACAGTGTGAGACATACCTGCTGGATACGCTGTAGGAATTATTGCTGTTTGAGGCACAATATTTACTAAATATGTCTCTAGTTTTGTATTGCCGGAAGGGAAGTTATGGTTAATATGTTCTTTACCAATACCAAATCCTGTTCCATCAGTATGATAGTTACCCTGCCCCCATGACACATTTGTTGACTGATTCACTGCTGGTGCCAGGTGGCACTGAACTGGCTGCATAGTTGTTTCTTTCTGGCATGACTGACCTTCACTACAGACATTTGAAGTATAATTATCGTCACAACTGTTAGTTTCAGTAACCAAGGTAGTCAAAGGGGCGTTCAGCATTTCGTAAGCATTTTCCAGCGATAAGAGAGTCGTGTCTGGAGCTCCAGCCATTCTTACGACGGTTGTTTACTTCTCTCTAACTCTCACTACCAATCGCAGGTCTTTCTCACAACTACGCATATTATCACCGATCTTAAACTTCACACAACACTATAAACTCGACGTTTTTTAGCAAAGAGTAAATAAGTGACCAGTGGTAATACACCGCTGTGTATACACGTATCGGCTGAGCGTGGTGGAGTACTGTATTTCTCCACATGGTAACTGGTGTCATGCAGTTATCGTACAGTATATATTACAGGTTCCTTATATTATCATCAACTTTACCTACGAGTTGATTGAATATATTTTTGTTATAGTTGTTATATAAAAATGTTTTGGCAGTTACGACACCTCAGTAAATATATATATATATATTTTAAATAAGACCTAAGATAATGATAAATTATATAAAATAATGCTGTCTGGCTACTAACACTAGCCTCACACGAGGCTAGCAGGATTCTCTAAGGTTCGTTGTACAACTTATGGATTGAACCGTATAAGATCGTGTCATTAAATCATTTAACTTGTATTCATTATTCATATTTTCATGGAATATTTTATTTTGTGTCGCTGAACATGAGATGAAAAGCTTCTTTTTCTTCTTTTTTTATGGGGATTAACCCACCCGGGCACAGGTCACTGACCCACATCGGGGCCTGGGGGGCGTAAATGTTATAATAATAATAATAATAATAATGATAATAATAAATTATAAAACTTATAAATAAAAGTACCCCTGTAATAATAAAGAGCCATAAATAAATACAAAAATAATAAATACAAATATCAATAGTGAGAAATGATGTCGGTATGTTGTGGTGTCAATAGTTAGTTAAATAAATGAGACCTAACCTACGTGCAATGCCATCATATACAGTATATATATATATATATATATATATATATATATATATATATATATATATATATATATATATATATATATATATATATATATAGAGGTAGTAGGCAGCTACCAAACAGGGAGGTACGACTGCCTGGGAAGATATTGGAAGCATAATGTATTGTCTAATAGTAGACCCTGCTACTATATGGCATCACGAAAATTGTGACCAAGTCCCAGGTTGCTGATCTGACTTTCTGCCTCCTTTACACACAATTTGCGGATGACACCAAAATAGGGCGGCAAATTAATTCAGGGCACGATGCAAATGCATTACAGGAGGATCTAAATAAACTGCAGGGGTGGTCTGAAGAATGGCAAATGAAATTCAACACCAGCAAGTGCAGCGTACTTAATATTGGAAGAACAAATACTTATAATGTATACAGCCTGAACAACATCAACCTAGAGAAGTCGACTTGTGAAAGAGACCTAGGGGTACTTGTAAGCCCGGACCTACGGCCTAGAAAACAGTGCGTTAATGTTCGAAATAAGGCAAACAGAGTATTGGGTTTTATATCTAGAAGTGTAAGTAACAAGAGTGCAGAGGTCTTATTGCAACTATATCTTGCGCTAGTCAGGCCGCACCTCGATTATGCGGTTCAGTTCTGGTGCCCCTATTATAGAATGGATATAAATTCACTAGAGTCGGTGCAGCGAAGAATGACAAAAATGATTCCGGGACTTAGAAACCTTCCATATCAGGATAGGTTAAAGAAACTTAACTTGCATTCCTAGAAAGACGAAGAGTGCGGGGAGATATGATAGAAGTATTTAAGTGGGTGAAAGGAATCAATAAAGGGATATAGATAAAGTTCTTATAATATCCGAGCAGGATAGGACTCGGAGCAACGGATTCAAGTTGGATAAGTTTAGGTTTAGGAGGGAGATAGGAAGAAACTGGTTCACAAATAGGGTGGTGGACGAGTGGAACAAGCTTAGCAACTTTGTAGTAAGTGCGGGAACTCTGGAAAGTTTCAAAAGGAGGCTAGATAGATTCATGGATGATAGAGAGTGGTAGTAACTCTCGACAGGAGCTGCCATGCACAGGCCAACCGGCCTATTGCAGACTCCTTATTTTCTTATGTTCTTATGTAATTGCAGGGTCTCAATTGTTTCTCTTACTTTGACGACACAACATACTGTACATATATTGTTTCTCACTATTGATTTTTCATTTTTTAATTTCTTTATGGTTCTTTATCATTATTGTTATTATTATTATTAGTGTTGTTATTATTATTATTGTTATTATTATTATTTTGTGTTTAATTTTGTATTATAAATTTTATTTACTATAAATTGTTTAATTATTATTTTTGTATTTTTATTATAATTTTTATTTAATATGAATAATTATTATTATTACATTTTCGCCTCCCAGGCCCTGATGTGGGTCAGTGACCTGTGCCCGGGTGGGCTAATCCCCGTAAAAAAAATATATATATGCTGATAACCACAAGGAAAGAAGAAAATACGAAGTTCCCAAGCGCTTTCGTGTAATTCACATCTTCAGGGGTGAGTACAGACTGTACTCACCCCTGAAGATGTGAATTACACGAAAGCGCTTGGGAACTTCGTATTTTCTTCTTTCCTTGTGGTTATCAGCATATACCTAGATCACGCGCACCTACAGTGATTTACTTGGAAGGGATCCATTCCTTGATGTGCTTATCATGAGAAATGGCCAAAACTACAAATTTAATGTATACAGAAAGCCCACACAGGTAGACAGTTTCATACACTTTTTATCGAATCACATGGAGTCTACCAAAATGTCAGTTTTTTCTGCTATGTTCTTAAGATGTCTGCGTATTTGTGACTCTGAATTTATTGACGATGAATTGAAACACATTCGTTCCATTGCACAGAAACTCGGGTACCCTTCTGTGTTTGTTGATCGTTGTTTTAAAAACGCTAAAAAATCCTTTCATTCCTCTCAAACCAGGCAAATTCCTTCACTTAAGAATATTTTGACTCTGCCCTATCGTAATAAATTTGTCCCGTTAGTTCGGTCCCTCAAGCTACTAAATATTAATGTTATTTTCAAGTATAACTCAACCATTACCAATATGTTAATAAGAAATAGCCCAAGTTTGAATGTAAATGGAAGTGTTTATTGTATTCCATGTAGCAAATGTAATTGTAATTATGTAGGATAGACAGGAAAAACACTGCAGCTCAGAATCAAACAACATAAGTATAATATCAGAACAGCATCTGAAAGCAGTGCCTTGTTCGTTCATGTTAGGAATAATAATCATCCCATTGCTTGGGAAAAAAGCTTAAACATAAGAACATAAGAAAATAAGGAGTCTGCAATAGGCCGGTTGGCCTGTGCATGGCAGCTCCTGTCGAGAGTTACTACCACTCTCTATCATCCATGAATCTATCTAGCCTCCTTTTGAAACTTTCCAGAGTTCCCGCACTTACTACAAAGTTGCTAAGCTTGTTCCACTCGTCCACCACCCTATTTGTGAACCAGTTTCTTCCTATCTCCCTCCTAAACCTAAGCTTATCCAACTTGAATCCGTTGCTCCGAGTCCTATCCTGCTCGGATATTATAAGAACTTTATCTATATCCCTTTATTGATTCCTTTCACCCACTTAAATACTTCTATCATATCTCCCCGCACTCTTCGTCTTTCTAGGGAATGCAAGTTAAGTTTCTTTAACCTATCCTGATATGGAAGGTTTCTAAGTCCCGGAATCATTTTTGTCATTCTTCGCTGCACCGACTCTAGTGAATTTATATCCATTCTATAATAGGGCACCAGAACTGAACCGCATAATCGAGGTGCGGCTAACTAGCGCAAGATATAGTTGCAATAAGACCTCTGCACTCTTGTTACTTACACTTCTAGATATAAAACCCAATACTCTGTTTGCCTTATTTCGAACATTAACGCACTGTTTTCTAGGCCGTAGGTCCGGGCTTACAAGTACCCTAGGTCTCTTTCACAAGTCGACTTCTCTAGGTTGATGTTGTTAAGGCTGTATACATTATAAGTATTTGTTCTTCCAATATTAAGTACGCTGCACTTGCTGGTGTTGAATTTCATTTGCCATTTTTCAGACCACCCGTGCAGTTTATTTAGATCCTCCTGTAATGCATTTGCATCCTGCCCTGAATTAATTTGCCGCCCTATTTTGGTGTCATCCGCAAACTTGCTTATGTCACTGCTGATCCCGGTATCTAGATCGTTTATGTAGATTATGAGCAAGAGTGGGCCTAGACTTCTGGTTGAAGCTAGTTTGATTAAGGAATTAAAATCAATAAACCTTAGTGATGGTCAGTTCAAAACTGATAATATGTTACATAAATATATTTGTCAGTGGCCCAAGGTTAAAAATGCTTTAAAAACCTTTGATATAGATGTATGATAGTTATTTAGTGTGTCCCATATTTTTGACCTGACCTGACTAGTCACGTCACCCCCCTTATTGCTTAATGTATATAGAAATGCTCATATAAATAATGTCCCCATGCAAATAGAGTGGATGTTTGGAAATGGGAAAATAGATGAAATATTAAAGAAATATAGAAATTTTGCATCTAGAATATAACTATGTACTATAACTGATTATATGAAATATTAGGGATTTATGTGAGTCCTGAGAGGGACATTCCTGGACTGGGGTGAGGATGACTTATGTCACTTCATCCCTTTGAGATGTATTAATGTTTTTTGTATCTCAATAAACGTATCAATCAATCAATCAATCACCCCCCTTCTCTTAAGCTCCTCTTCGTGTGTGTGGATTAGTGGATGACATCATTATGACCTGACCTCATGTTTTTAAGGTCACCCTGTATATTTAAGCCTCTCTCTGTCCATGTAATCCAGTTGCCTCTGAAGATGTCTTGAATAATGATGAAAGCTAAGGTGCTCCGTTGTTTCCCTTTTCCCGTGTGATTTTATCAAGATTTATCTTATCCACGTTTTCATTGTGGATCTACATGATATACTGTATATATATATATATATATATATATATATATATATATATATATATATATATATATATATTTAATGTGTTGTCAATGTGTACAAGTCATCTTCAAGTGACTTTATTTCCGTTCACCGTTAGATATAGTGGTTTGCTTATCGTCCTATAGAACCAGGTTGTCTTCGAGATCTACGGTATATTTCATCGTCATTTTCCCATTTCTAATTTACGTCTTAAGAAAACTAAATTATCAATATTGTAGTTGTATGGTATACTATGATATAATATCAATCAGTATAATATTCTTTAATATAATACCATGTTTTGCATTATAGGATCATATATCAATACAATATTCACTGTGTAAAAGTTATTCACAACATCAACCCGGAGTCTGGAAAATAATCCCAATTTCCAGTGAACGATCAAGATGCCCGCGGTATATTTAACTTATAAGAGCAGCGCTGAGCGATCCCAGAATTCACCGAATTCAGGGATCGTTTTGTCCCAAGACGAAGAGAATAAAGTAAGTGAAGTAGGTACAATGCTCCTGACAACCATAGCTGGGAAGGGAACGTGCCTCGGGCTAACTGGGGATTCCCGGGGACTGGATGAGATTGTGACGTTACTCTGACGTCATGTCTACGTCACATTGGGAAGGGAAGGGTATGCGACTGTTTCATAAGTAAGTGAACTTACTGACAGTTCAGTTGGTTAGTTTTTTCTTTATTATGTTCTTTATTGTCCAGCATTGGTACAGAAACCCGGAATAAACCTGTGGTGCTTGGTAGGGTCACACTGGATAACACCCTTCTCAAGTGTCCACACCAGGGTGACTCGAACCCATGACGTGTTAGTGAGAAATACAGGCATTACAGCTGTATCAAACTAACATATATATATATATATATATATATATATGCAAGTAAATCACTATAGGTGCACTTGATCCAGGTATATGCTGATAACCACAAGGAAAATGATTTCCTTGTTGTTATTAACATATATATATATATATATATATATATATATATATATATATATATATATATATATATATATATATATATATTTCATGTAAATCCACAATGACAACGTGGATAAGATAAATCTTGATAAAATCACACGGGAAGATGGAAACAACGGAGTACCTTAGCTTTCGTTGCCTCTGAAGATGTCTTGAATAAAGACGAAAGCTAAGGTACTCCGTTGTTTCCATCTTCCCGTGTGATTTTATCAAGATAGATATATATATATATATATATATATATCCTTACTGTGGTGTCCTATGAATAATTTATTTAGATCCTGGGACCATGCGCGAGAGTTGTTGACGTCAATGTGACGTCATAAAGTTGCCATTATTGGCCCCCACAAAAAAAAGTTGGTAGATTCTGACTAAAATAAAACTATCAGGATCTGTATCACAACAAAGTTCTTGATGTATATTTTTACTTCAAATAAATTTGTCTTCTTAAATGTGTAATCCAATAATATTCCACATGTAGTTACAGTGGCAGCATGTACACAAAATGTTCGTCACTGGGTGTAGTCACTCGGATAATTGACACCGGTATTAGTGAATGTTTTGGGTGTATGATTGTCATTTATTGTTTCCCCCCTTAAATTACTTATGGTACAAGTCATGTTATCCATGGTTGTGTTCTGATGTAATTTTTTCTATTGTTAACATATACTCTGAGCATAGTATTAAGTTATCACATATACTGAGTAATTTGTTAAGGTCAGAAAAACAAAACAAAAAATTTAAGTAATTTTTAAATTTAAAATCAGTACATCTCTTAATGTTTTGAACTTGGAGATTAGCAGAAATAATATTAGGCATGGGTGTATGAATTAATCGGAAAGCGATAACACAGCATAACGATGTTATCTATCAATTGTCATGGCACTATCATTAGGGTCATGACAACGGCAACCTTCCCTAATCTGGTTATGTGGTATCTGCAACTTATTCTCAGCACTATATGGGTGGCCCACATAAGCCACTCGGTGATTTAAAATATTGAGCTTTGTAAACGTGTTCTAACAGAAACTGTTGTGAGGACTGGGGACGACGGGGGGGAAAGTGACACCATAACGAGACATCAGTTCCTGTCTGAGTTCTTGTTCTCTCTGCCTCAGCTGCTTCACCTCCTGCTCCAGGTCATCTCTCTCCCGTGTCACCGCCGCCACCTTGTCGTCTAAATCCTCCAGCAATTTCTTCTTGTTGTCTCGATTCTTCTTGGCGTTAATTGCGTTTTGTCTGCGTTTTTCGGCGACAGGATCCTCGAAGGGATCCTCCCGCTCGTAAATCTTGGTCTTCTTTGGCCGACGCTGCCTTGGTGCTTTGACCTTAGTGATATCTTGTTGTCTTCTGCGTCTCCTGGTTGTAGGCCCTTCACTATCTGAAGGAGGGCTGAGTGTGGCTGGTGTAGCAGGCGTGGAGCTCTCGCTGGTGGTGCTGACACAAGGTTCTTGAGGAGTCACTGCCTCTGGTGCTTGACTTACTGTCACCAAATTCTCGATAAATTCTAATCCCTGGTAGTCATCCAGCGTCAGTGTTACAGGCTGAGTGTACGTGACACAATCTAGGTGGTGGGGATCGGTAATGTAGGTAGTGGGGTGGACAGTTGTGGACACATCCTGGGGCGAGAAGGCAATGGGAGTTGATGGCAAGAGGTCGGTATAATGTAGACACTCGTCCAGCAACTTGTTGGTGCATTCTTCAGGTGATGGGTTAAGGCCGAGCACAGTCACCAGGGTGTTGTTGTCCAGCTCTTGTAGGTCCTGCCCGCCACCCACAGGGATGGGAATGTTGTCAGAGACTTGTAATGACAGTGAAGTAGGCGATACATGATCCACCGTATTCCACCCACCATCAAGAAGATCACTCATTTTACATGTACCTAACACAACTTGCAACAGAAGCTAAGTAACACACGCTTCTCTCCTCTACAAGATAGTTGAAGGGTATCCGAACTGGTACACACAATAGTTGTTCCACAAAGTTTACGTTTTATACAACTGTGTATAACAGTAACAGTTTCCTGGATATAATAACGATCCCCAAACACATCCACCTCCACTGGACGCTAAAAGTATAACAAAGCGACAAAGCTCGTACGTCCTATCCCTGCCAGTTCTAGGAAACCGCGCAGTGCGCACGTTATTCTCAACCAATAGGAGAACACTATTCTAGTGATGACGTATACCTTGGGACTCCCTGATTGGTTGGAAATCAAGCCCAGTACGTTTTGGTCCGTACCAGAACGTGCAGCTCTCATGTTTGGTGCTTGTTGGTGAATCAGAGTTACAGTGGTCAACATATCGGAACTAAACGTGTTGAAGGTTATTTTCCGAATATAAATACGCCATCAACAGATAATGTTGAAGAGACATCAAAATAAACTTAATGCCTCTTGATCAATTCGATTAATTTAAGAGATTAATTTATAGGTGCTACTATAGCGTGCGGTCTACAAGGATATCTTTAGTCTAACCTAATCTAACGGCTAGTAAGCTGATAAGTGGCGAATATGATAAAAAAAAACCCTGACCGCACGCTGTAGTTGTGCTAGCACCACTATATATCCTATTGTATTACTGAACATGGATTATTCACGACTCGGAATATATTTTCTTAAGTTTGTATGTTATCTACAATAAACTGGTGTAATATCTATACGTATAATTATCTGTCAAGAAGTGGGTGTGTTGGATGACAATGTGCACCGGAAATCCCTTAGAAAATAATAAACTAAATGGCAATACTACGATGACGTCATGCGACCTTCAGACAGCACCATAGCCTCGACGTTGAAGCACGAAAATATTCACTGTCTTACTTTTCAGACTTTGAAATTTAGTAAACTAAAAACTAAACAGTACAGTCTGGTACAACAATGAAAAGATGCCATTTAGAAGATCGGTATTATTGTGAAGACCAAGTATAATAGTATTGCGTCACGTTTACCAACATACGTGGAGAGAATTCAGTGCACAATGTTGAGTGACAGTTTGTAGTGTAAATTTTCTCATTCCTTTAAAGGTAAAATGTAATACCATAATAACCAAGTGCAACGAAGTATATATGTAACATGCTTGTGGGGCACCTAAACCAGAGTGATAAAGCAACTACAAATAATATATTTTATTTGACAGTGTGAGTGTGTACTGTACAACGGCCGAATAAATCAAGACACATTTTGCTTACACACACACACACACACATCACGTGATTAACGCACCCTCCCCTCCTCGGTGCTTCTCCCACATCACGTGATTAACGCACACATCACGTGATTAACGCACCCTCCCCTCCTCGGTGCTTCTCCCACATCACGTGATTAACGCACCCTCCCCTCCTCGGTGCTTCTCCCACATCACGTGATTAACGCACCCTCCCCTCCTCGGTGCTTCTCCCACATCACGTGATTAACGCACCCTCCCCTCCTCGGTGCTTCTCCACATCACGTCACCCTGATAACTCAACCTCCTGTTCTCTCTTTCTCTCCTGTCGTCATTTCCCCGATTTTGTGTGCGTTTGTTTGTATGAGTGTAAAAGAGAGAAGGGACAAAACAAGGAAGAAAAAGCGGAGGGGAAGCCAAAAGTGGGAGGGAAGGATATAAACACAGTGGAGGGAAGGAGTGAGATAGATAACATTCACTGTAACACTGATCTAAATAATGACAACAATAACTAGAAATAAAAATAAATAACATTTATAATAACAACAATCATAATAATAATAAAGTAAAAACTTATAAAAAATACTACTAACAATAATAATAACTACCCCTTATCACGATGTCCACACTACCATCCAAGCTACCGCCCCATTTACCGGAGCAGTACAGGTATCAACACACTTGTAGTGGATCTGTGGGGGTACGGGATGTTGGTTCACACTCAGGATGGGATGGAGAAAGGAAACTCACAATGTGCTCTCTGTATACATGTTGTATCGGATGTACAGTGCAGCTTGGTGCTGGGAAGTAGCAGGGTGGTTACAAGCGTGATGTAGAGAGAGCTGGTTGGTGAGGATGCTCAGAGGAGGACCAGCTTGTGGGTCGCCATGCTCGCCGGCGGGAGCGAGGGCCGCCAGGCAGGAGGTGGTGTTGCTTGATGATTGGCTGTAGGTAGAAAGAGGTCGATGACGGCTAGGTGAGGTCTTATATAGCGGGGGTAGGCGTGGCTTGATGGTAGGCCACCCCGCTGGTTACCTGACCTTGACCACGAGGGATACGCCGGTAGATTCGCAGGGGTCGGCCAGTCAGCGACACACGGCGTTTGTAGGGGAGGAATCCACTGCAGATCCTACAGTACGCTACACTCTCACGTACTTAAAGAAAACACCTTAACAAATTCTGCCTTCTAGGAACACCATGCGATGCATTATTTTTCCTAATATGAGCAGAATTAAGGTACGACTGGGTTTAAACTTAGTTAATAGTGTATAACTTTGGTGCTACTATAGCGTGCTGTCTATAACATTAATAGGCCTACTCTAGACTGTGGTCTGCAATTTTTTCAATACTTAAGAATGTGAATTACAAAATAATTATGTGCCACATCCTTTGCTGAGTACACTTTGAATATCGCATTAAAATATTGCAAATCTTATCTTAGAATAATAATATGCTTTAACTTTTCTCTTTATAAGTACATAAGAACATAAGAAAATAAAGAGTCTGCAATAGGCCGGTTGGCCTGTGCATGGCAGCTCCTGTCGAGAGTTACTACCACTCTCTATCATCCATGAATCTATCTAGCCTCCTTTTGAAACTTTCCAGAGTTCCCGCACTTACTACAAAGTTGCTAAGCTTGTTCCACTCGTCCACCACCCTATTTGTGAACCAGTTTCTTCCTATCTCCCTCCTAAACCTAAACTTATCCAACTTGAATCCGTTGCTCCGAGTCCTATCCTGCTCGGATATTATAAGAACTTTATCTATATCCCCTTTATTGATTCCTTTCACCCACTTAAATACTTCTATCATATCTCCCCGCACTCTTCGTCTTTCTAGGGAATGCAAGTTAAGTTTCTTTAACCTATCCTGATATGGAAGGTTTCTAAGTCCCGGAATCATTTTTGTCATTCTTCGCTGCACCGACTCTAGTGAATTTATATCCATTCTATAATAGGGGCACCAGAACTGAACCGCATAATGGAGGTGCGGCCTAACTAGCGCAAGATATAGTTGCAATAAGACCTCTGCACTCTTGTTACTTACACTTCTAGATATAAAACCCAATACTCTGTTTGCCTTATTTCGAACATTAACGCACTGTTTTCTAGGCCGTAGGTCCGGGCCTACAAGTACCCCTAGGTCTCTTTCACAAGTCGACTTCTCTAGACAGCTACAACTAGATATTTACTAGATATTAACTAGATTTACACTAGATATTTTATTCTAGTGAGAACAAAGCATAAATAGCTACGACTGGGATAAAAAAAAAGACGTTATATCATATTTTGTTCTTGTATAAGCAGAAGCATAGGCAATTACGATTAGTGAAAATTACAAACTGAATAAACACTTTTCCGAGTACAAGCAGAAATATTTTATAAATAGCTACGACTTGGAAACGTTGTATTATAATATGTTTTTCCTGTTATTAATTTGTTGCATTTTAATATTTGTTATTTAACTGTAGTGATGGCACACGCTTTGATTTTAGACAATAGGCCGAGAAGCGATTGTAGTGATGGCTGTGTGTGTGTGTTTTGTTATATATTTACCACATTAAAGGTGCAAGTTTATTTATAGCCAATACAGTAGGGCACATCAGAGTACAGCGATAGACTGTGGATGTCGGTCACACTAGAATAACCGTTATACTACATCCTTCTTTCCTCACACAGCCAAACTGCGGAATGCTCTGCCTTCTTGTTTCCATACTCATACAATGTCTCACTTTAAAAGCTGGTTTCCCGGCATCTTCCTGGTGTAGATTAGTATGATCTTTTTCTTTTCTATTTTTAATTTCGTTCTATTCTTATTTTTTCGCTCCCCTGGCCCCGCTGTGGGTCGTTCGACCTGTGCCAGGGTGGGCTAATTCCCGAAAAAAGACTAGTTGGTACCGCAGGATTGTGTGTAAGGGTGTTGACACAGCAGGGTACAGTGTAAGGGTGTTGACACAGCAGGGTACAGTGTAAGGGTGTTGACACAGCAGGGTACAGTGTAGGGGTGTTGACACAGCAGGGTACAGTGTAAGGGTGTTGACACAGCAGGGTACAGTGTAAGGGTGTTGACACAGCAGGGTACAGTGTAGGGTGTTGACACAGCAGGGTACAGTGTAAGGGGTGTTGACACAGCAGGGTACAGTGTAAGGGTGTTGACACAGCAGGGTACAGTGTAGGGGTGTTGACACAGCAGGGTACAGTGTAAGGGTGTTGACACAGCAGGGTACACGACACAGCAGGGTACAGTGTGGGGTGTTGACACAGCAGGGTACACAGTGTAGGGGTGACACAGTGTTAAGTGTTGACACACAGGGTACAGTGTAGGGGGTGTTGACAGCAGGGTAGTGGGGTGTTGACACAGCAGGGTACAGTGTAGGGTGTTGACAGGGTACAGTGTAAGGGTGTTGACACAGCAGGGTACAGTGTGGGTGTTGACACAGCAGGGTACAGTGTAAGGGTGGACACAGCAGGGTACAGTGTACAGTGGGGTGTTGACACAGCAGGGTACAGTGTAAGGGGTGTTGACACAGCAGGGGGTGACACAGCACAGTGTAAGGGTGTTGACACAGCAGGGTACAGTGTAGGGGTGTTGACACAGCAGGGTACAGTGTAAGGGTGTGGGTGTTGACACAGCAGGGTACAGTGTAAGGGTGTTGACACAGCAGGGTACAGTGTAAGGGTGTTGACACAGCAGGGTACAGTGTAAGGGTGTTGACACAGCAGGGTACAGTGTAAGGGTGTTGACACAGCAGGGTACAGTGTAAGGGTGTTGATACAGCAGGGTACAGCATTTTGGATATGGGCAGTGGGTAGTGGCACAGCAGGCAGGATACCTACCGGATGTGTAACGTTTGATAACACTGGACACTTCCAGTGTTACAGAACATTGGAGGATGACATTCTCTCTCTCTCTTTGTTTGGGATAGAATTTTCCATCATCAGAATGTTTTTAAATTCAAGCAATACATAACATGCCGATATATATTTCCAAGCTTACACTGAACAATTATTTTTCAAATGGATTATAAACAATTAATACAAATATGTATTGTATCATAATGTATGTGGCAAATCATAATTTAACAATGAGACCAATTAATAAAACTAATACATTACAAGGAATACCTAGTTATTATCTATATTGTCTTACTCAAAAGGATACATAATCCTAAACACTCAACTGTACATAACATAAATCCAATGATAATCACTATAAGCACCTCAGAGGACATTACTTAGCCGAGTTATCTTCCCTGAAACTAGCGGATGACCGCACCCACTAAAGGTCATATCCTCAGGATGAAGAAGCCACAAATTCAGAAATTGTCAGGGTAAACTTTTTTAGAGTACGAGTTGTGAACTCTTGGAACAATCTACCAGTGTTGTGATGGCACCAAGTATGTGTTCATTCATGATCACACTTGGCCTACACTGGCGTAGGTACAGGTAGATACATTGTGAAGTCAGTGAATGCTTATTACTTGCCAATAGTGTCTTACTGAGATGTGACTGACCACCTAACAGGTTAACAGGTCAATCAATGGGGAAGAGGATAAAGACTACGTAATCTGATAGGTTATTCACCCGTTAATTACCTGATTTTATTATTGCTTTACAATCTTCTCCTTTAATCATTGTACATTGACTTATGGAGCCAAAAAATATTCATTAAGTTCTGTTATGACTGATGCTTTTAAACTTTCTTGGTTTAGCTTGTGAGTCTGTACCGAGTTTTTGCTTAGGATAATCTTGGATTTATTGTCATACAGTATTTTGATTAATAAGTATTTAGTGAATAAAAATTGTGCCCTATACAATTATATACAGTAGGCAAAAGAGCTATATATCATGTATTAGTTTTATTACCTTGTAGTTTGCCACCGTGTACCGATACTTTGTATAAAAATAAATTTCTAATATTATAAAAGATGGCAATGTAATGGAAAATGTCTCTCCCACGTCCTATGAAATGATGAACTTTGACCCCTACAAAATGGTAAAACAAAAATTAATACCAGAATTATTCCAGTAAGAGGCCTGGTATGACCAAAGTAAACAAACTACACCAGTGTTGGTCAATTCTGGTCTTAAAAGAGCTCACACTCGGGTGTCGTCACAACACTGGAAGATTGTTCCAAGAGTTTACAATTCTCACTCTGTAAAAGTTCGCCTTCAAAGTTTTCTAAAATTGTGGCTTCTTCAACCTTGAGCTGTGACCTCTAGTGGGGTGGACGTCCGTCAGCTCCAGGTATGGACAATCAACTGAGTAGTGCCCTCTGAGATGTTTATACACTTCAATTAGATCAACCTTACCTGTCTATAGTATAACCTAGGCAGTTGCAGGCATTCTACAGTTATTTATCTATTCTCTGCAGCAGTCTCATTTACTGACTCCCTTGTGTTTTGTGTGGTGGCATAATTGAAGTGTATAAACATCTCACAGGGCACTACTCAGTTTAGTGTCCCCCATACCTGGAGCTAATGGATGCCCACCCCACAAGGGGTCAAAGCTCAAGGTTTGAAGAAGCCATAAGTCCAGAAAAAACTGAGGGCAAACTTTTTTGATAATTGTGAACTCTTAGAACAGTCTGCCAGTGTGCTGTGACAGCACCAAGTGTGAGCCCTTTCAAGAACAGACTTGACCAACACTGGAGCAGGTTCAGATACATTCAGGAGCCAGTGCATGCCCAATACTTGCCAACAGTGTGTAACAGAGACGTGACCGATCGCACAAGCAGCTAACAAGGCGATCAGTGGTGAAGAGGATAAAAGTAAATAAAAAAATAAGACAGTGAGCCATTTAACTAGAGACTCTTACATTTGCTGCTGTCAATCCCTCTCACCCCTGCATATCATACAAGGCTAAATAAAGTCAGTTTATATATTGTTGTAGAGGAACTGCCACAGCCGACTTCTTAAGTTCCAGCATCACAAACTATTCAGGAGACATATGGCCCAATGAGAATGAACAGAAAAAAAATATTCTTACGTATTTTTTTTTTATTTAGTGTAGAAAGCACTGCTTCATTATATAAACTAGTAGTTAAAAAAATTGTAAATCATAGTTTCTCCTACTGAATTTATCATCAAAAGATACTGTGAATAAATTTTGCATTAAAAAGTTGTATAATGAAGGCATACCACATAAGTATGTTTTCTAACACACTAGTATTCTTTTGATAACATAATTAATGTCCTTGGATAAGGTGTTCATATTTCCTCGCAATCAATACTTCTAGATATGGGTCACATTAATTTTCAAAGGTGGGTGCAGAGACTGCAAAACAAAACAATAAGTGCCTACATTTTAAGTGGTAAGCAACATTACTGATCATTTTAACATCTAACTGGGCTTTCAGCAGATGCTTTCATCCAGTGAGTAAAAGAGCCGTGACCGAGCGCCCAAGTGGCTAACGAGCCAATCAGTGGCAACGAGGATAAAAGTAAAAAAGTGCTGTAATGGCTTCCCAGCTATGCAAAAAAAAAAAAAAAAAGATTCAAAGCTGCCATATCTTTCATCTACATGGTTTGTTATATTGCCATTATTGAACTATTAATGGGAGTGTGGGCATATGGCAAACATGTTACAGACATTCCATATTTAAAATTATAGGCAAATAAATTATTGGGCCTTATAAGAAGGTTGTTCAGATATCTAGACGGTCCATCCCTCTTAACGATCTTCAAGAGTGAAGTGCTTCCCCATCTGGAGTACTGTCACCCTGTCTGGTCCCCGAGATATGCTAGAGACTGTCAGTTGGTTGAAAATGTTCAAAGGAGGGCCACCAGACTGGTGCCAGCACTTTGGCATCTCAACTACCCCAAGAGATTGAAGTGCCTGAACTTGCCTAGCTTATACTACAGACGGGCAAGAGGTGACCTAATTGAGGTGTATAAGTATCTCAGGGGGCACTACTCAGTCGAGTGTCCTTACTTGGAGCTGGCGGACGCTCGCCCCACAAGGGGTCACAGCTCAAGATTGAAGCCGCAGGTCCAGAAAACTGTAAGGGGAAACTTTTTCGGAGTGAGAGATGTGAACTCTGGAACATTCTACCAGAAAGTGTTGTGACGGCACCGAGTGTGAGCTCTTTCAAGACCAGACTTGACCAACACTGGAGCAGGTTCAGGTACATTGAGGAGCCCGTTCATGCCCAGTACTTGACAACAGTGAGTAACAGAGACGTGACTGATCGCCCAAGCGGCTAACGAGCCGATCAGTGGTGAAGAGGCTAAAAGTAAAAGTACTTGAGATGTTATTCAGCTTTTAAAATAAAATATTCTAAATTTTTTTTTTTTGTCTTTTCTGTTTGGGACTTCAATTTGCAGCTACAGTAAATATTTCATCTGCCTTTACTATATGTTACTTTACTGTATAGCATCTTATCTTATTCAGTTAGGTAGTACTGGATTCTAAAACCAGTGCCACTGCAAAATTAATATAGTCAGATAATTATAGTACTGTATAGTAATTAGTAATGCTTCAGTAAACATTGCCCATGTGTCTTACCAATCAATAAGTAGAATATCAGGTCTACAGTTTTGATATCTAATTAAACTAAATACTGTATTCATTCAGCCCAAGAAAATTACCTACACTCTACAACTACTGTACAGTACAGTATTAGTTTTCTTTTTATGCATATAAACCTTTGCCTGCTATGATGCAAGGTAGCTAAAAGGGGGCTTGTCCCCTGATTTTTATTACCCGGTATTACCCTACTGCCAAGATTTACTGAAACGGGAGTTAATTTATTAATTAAACTAAGAGCGTTGTCACTGTTATTTAATACAAAAGAGAAAAACTATGTTAGCATCACAATACTCCGTACAGTAGTTCACATGAAAGACTAGAGATATACCATATAGAAATGTACTGTACCTAATTCTTATGTATAGTATTTTTTATTACTACTTAGGCTAATAAAATTAATCAAAATTAGATAAATGATTGAAGATTTTGTACAATTCCTTATAATTCTATTGAAAAATAAATTGAAACCAAATTACAGAATAGTCATAAATAAATTAGCAACATCATTACAGGTATTTCAACTTTACATGATAATTAAACTTATAAACACCTATAAAAATTGCAAATACACTGTATTACTAATATGGTCCATTCTCTATAGCCAAGCTCAAATTCGTTCCTGATTACTGGTACTCAGGCAGTCCAAGAGAATAATTCTCAGGAGCACCAAGCAATGCACCAATGGCATTGATGGTTCCACACACTTCCTAAGACAGCTTACCTATACAGCCTCATAATTCTACATTATTTTGCTCCAACAAAAAAAAAAAAAAAAAAAATAATAATAATAATAATAATAATAAAACAAGTACCTGTAACACAAAGAAGAGGGACAGTAGGTTATTCTGCTGTAGTGGGTGGTCATTAGGTAAATAATTATAAAGGAGTTAGACAAAGGCAAGAATTGGGCCTCCTTTATGTCTGAATTTATTATATGCTTGTATACAGTGTTCTGTAGTATTTATGATATTTTAAGCCAGCAAATGGATATCTACTGGTACATGCTAGATGCTCAAGTACATAATAATAAGTGTATAGTATACTGTAATGTACTTGTATACTCAGTAAAATTATCTTGTAGGTTTACAATTGGATAGACATGTATACAGTATTATTGGTATGCAGGTCAACATGAATATAAACAATATAGATACATGGTGCACATAGGCCATGAGAGTACAGGTATATACACATTTCTAAGCACCGAGACAAGTGCAGGTACAGTATATACAGTAATACTGTACTGTAATTGTAAACAGCGACACAAACCAGGGATAGCCTAAAAAGCTGTCCGATGCAACATGTCTGATTGTGCCTTGCTGATAATATGGTACTATTTATTGTTTTCTATATTATATAGGTATCTCATGAGAAACACAAACTCTTAGACATTCCCAATACATTATGGATAACAGAGGTCCTGCAGTATTACCCCAAGAAGTAGGATGTAGGATAACTTAACCCCTTTCATATGTTTCATGGATTAAGATGACACTATTTTCTGGAGATTATGTCATTGTACTAAAGGGGTTAAACAAACACTTCCGATGTAGTGGCTGCCAACAACATGCCAGATATGCTACTAACTTGAAATATGTACTATAGCAGCACATTAGCACTGCCAATACACTGTACAAGTACTGTATAATGTGGGAGACACTTGTCTAGTGAGCCCCAACAAACCATGCATCAACAGTGACATCATCAAGAATCTTCCTATAATAATAAAATGGTTAACAAATTATTTGACTATTTTATTAGTCATAACATCAATACTTAACACTTAAGGTGCAATTGAAGTAAAAAAAAAATCCATAATTGATGGCACCATTCTCTAAACTGTACCTCATACAGCTATTCATCTTAATATTTACTAATGAAGAACAATGAAAACTGTTTACTAATACAGTATTAATATTATATTTGTATAATGTATACAGTATCCCCTGTATAATACAATTTTTACTACAGTACTGTACAGTACTTACAAAACTGAACCAAGGCCGAATTTGGTATTAAGAACAAACATTAGAGTTCAGTTATAAAATGAGATCCCAAACAATTTAATCCTATCTCTTGAATGAAACATGTGACCTTCAAGAAATATCCCACTGCAATAACGTGTCAGAATCTACATATTGTTTTGAAATATTTAACAGTAGGTTGGACTACCCAGGTGGACAATGTCAGTTTATGTCTGAGCTGTTAGCAGAGCACACATCTGAATCAGGGTCAAATAAATTTTATTTTATCTGTTGCTTGACTCAGGGATTGCAACTCTCAGTTATTCCCATGTGATTCAAACCCACAGCAGCCATAAAATATATACGTTAATCTTCTCAATTCCTGCCAATTTCTTTGAGGGATTCCATGTCAATCCTTAGTTTATGATCCATGGGTCATTGGCACGAGACCTGTGAGATTTAAGCAACCCAATTAGGAAGTCCTTAGATCCAGAAAGAGAAGCTCATTTTGTACATTGGTTCTCAAAGATTCTAGAAGGTTAGGTTATATAAAGCCAGATCTGTTCTAGTAAGGTCAGAACATGGTTGCAAGCCAGAGCAACCACTGGATTTTGAATCAGTCTAACAGTGGGTGGCATGTGTTACAGATTTAATATTAGGTCAGGTTTAGGGTTATGCAAAACAGTGAGAGTTGGAAAGTGTACACTAAGAAAATGTCTTACTAAATTAGATGTTCAGGAATGTGGGTTGCTGGAAAATGATCATTCCTTTTAGTTGTGTTAATTTTGTAACAATCAATTGATAACTATGGACTATTCTTCAAGCAAGGTAAACTTCATTGACTGTGACCATCATCTTTGATCACGAACATGCAGTCCCTTTTTGGAGTTAGGATGATCGGCAATGATTTTTCATTAGACACCAATATATTGTCAGATGTAAAAGTGGGTTTGTACCCCTCAATGAACCTTGAGTCAACCATAATTGACTCAACTGACTGAGAAGGTGCAGCTTGTGAGAATAAAAATATTTGAACATGGCCACCTTGATAGCATATCCTGCCATTGAACATGATAAGCCTTCTAACAAAAGGCTACAACATCCAGGGTATATTTTAGAGAAAAATAATAATATACTTATTGTATACTAAAAACCCTACAAACTGTTACACTGACAAAACCCTGGTACTGTATTCCATATGTTGAAAACCACAAGCATCATTATAGGCTTTTAAATTCAACCTAATCTTATAACAAGAAATTCAAAAAGAAAAACCTCAAGTTTATACAAAACAATTTCAAATTTTAATATCCATAGAAGTTACGTAAATTCTAAGCAAAGATTTTCCAAAAGTTACTGCTTGATGGGTTCCTAACATTATTTCATAATGCTGTATCAAATCAGATTTTAAAATTTGAATGGTATATTACAGATACCATCTCTCCTAACATACATGTGTGAACCACGAAGTGAAAGGCAGTACCGTAAAGTATTGCCTGCATCTACGAGAGAAATACATGGCTGCTTCGCATACTTACACAAAAGCTTTATTAGAATCCGTACAGACTTTAAGTCTTCATTTGAAACGATGCCTTTTGTAGATATATTTTGTTTGGCTTTGAAATACTCCCCCTGAGCTACTCCTATCTTAGTAATGATGTGCCTGTAGTTGTACAGATTTACATTCTGTCTGCCTGCCTCTACATTTGGTTCATCATAGTTCAACTGACATTGCAAGCATTTCTTTGTGTCGGAGTTGACTACCTGATCACATTTGATACATTTTAGTGAAACAATTGGAGGAATACACAAACCAGTTGGCCAATTATTTTCACAAGCATCACATTTGCACGTAAAATGGTATTGTGTCAAAAGTGTTGACCTCCTGGATCTTAGTTCCATTTCTGTGAAGTCTTCACAGTAGGAGATGGTTAATGGACCGCCAGCAGGAATAAAATGTTTAGCTCTTATCATTTCTGACTTACCATAGGTAATTCTTGCACAAGTTGGATTGCAAGAGTGGTTTAGAAGACATACTCCTGGGTAAATTCCAAAGCCAAATGACTCATTTATACTTCCCATCATAGGGTCAGTCAAATCAATCTAGAAAACAAAAGAATAACTGTAACTTTTACTTGAAATGTTAAAAAAATTACAAATGAAAGATTAAAATATGAAATTCCATTTCCTGGCCATAAGGGTGCACTACAAAAACACACTCTAGGCTTGCCTATCTAATATCACTATCCATACAGGCTAGATGCTTTTGTTTCAAGTAGGAAGGATCTGCACCTCTTGTTAACTTGGTTGACCACCGATTTTTTGGCAATCACTGGTCGTGAATCTTGAATGAAAGGTCACAAACCATTTTTTATCACCAAGTGAATTCGCAAATACGGAGTTCACATATATGGGAGGATAAGTGTATAAGAATGATAGCAGCCAAACTGTCATTTTTTTGTGATATTTTATTGTATAATAGTGATATCCCCAATAGCTGGAACAATTGGTACAGAGCACTTTCGGGGATGAACGATTTCTGGGTATTCAGACAATTTTCTCAAATCCCTTATCCCCAGAATTTTTTCCGGTTACTGGGAAAAGTTTCCGAGTCTAAACTGCACATCTAGCACAGACAAACACTAGCCCACATCCCCAGAATGTGTCTGGGTGCTGGGGAAAATTTTTCAAGAGGCTAAACTACTGGAGACTGTAAAAGCAGTTCTAATTATGTTAAAAACTCCATTTCTTTAATAGAATAACCCCGAATAGTTTATTTAAAAGTTTGGTTAAATAATAATATTTACAGAGCTAAAAATCTATATGATACGTACGTGAAAGAAACTGTGTTACAGTGAAGATGGTTATTTTCCATTACCACAGAGTTATGGGGGATTAATGGGTCGCGTGTTACTGGCCTGAACTGACGCAATGTCAGGTGGAGGATTAGTGGTCTTTTCCATGTATTACTTACCTTCTGATGCAATGTCATGTCACCCACTGCTGGGTGGGGAATTAGTGGGTCTCATGACCTGAAGATATCTTGAATAAAGATGAAAGCCAAGGTATTTTTGAGGCAAGAGGCTGTTAGCAAAAAAGCGTATAAACTTTTATTCACAACATCCGCTCTAATTGTGCTAAGGAAATGAATTTATTACCTTTGCATTTATGGAGATGCGTTCCTGATAACATTATTTTTACCTGTGAGATATATATACAGGGTATATGAAGGGTACAGGTATTAATGGTCATTTATGAGAACACCACCAGAAGGAGTTGTTCGATTTTGTTAATTTTTTCCACATATATTCTTAGCATAATAACTATTTTTTATTATATTTTTTTCTATCTACGATTATACAGTAAGTCACCTGTAGTGGGAAAGGCTTGAAGGATGGGGGAAATTACTGGGTAAAACATAGTGGGGAAAAACTGATCATATGAACATAAAATGATGTCTCTACATGCTTTGTACATGAAGAAATTTATTATTTATTGTAAATACAACTCTGGAAAATCTAATGAATCACTGTGTGTCGTCCGTTTGTTTACAACCGACTCGCTTGGTCCATGCGTACTCTCATATTCACAAAAAAACAAGTTACACAATGAAGCTTCAACAAAGTTGCTTTCATTAGTACCAGATATTTTAATAAGTACTTTCTGTTTAATATTGCATAGATCTGGAGGGTGGAGCCCCCCCCCCCCGGGCTAAGATCTTAGGTAAGGTTAGGTAGGTTCAGCTCATTGCTCAACTCTTTTAGCACTCGGGGAAGCACCATGACAGGGCCGGGACTCTTTATGAACTTTTGGCTTTGTCAGTTTATTTTTTATACCCTCTTCCGAGTACACAATGTGAGTCAGTCCTGTGTCAAACTATCTTTCCCCTTTTGTGAACACCGAGGCAAAGAATCTATTTAAAACCTACGCCTTGTACTGATCTGAGTCTGCGTAACTATCATCTTCAACTCTCTGATGCTTTGCCCACACGTGTTTTTAATAGAAATTTTGCAAAATGGTAATATATCCTTAGTTTGGTAACTGAAGCCTTACCAGAAGTTAATAAAAATAAATTATTAATGAATAAAGTAACTGAAGCTCAATAAAAAAAATATCCTGTACTGTACTAACAGGCAAAGCTGTAATATGAAACACAAAGGGGAAAATAATATACCTCCATAATTCCATCGGCTTCAGCATTACAGATGAGGTTCATCATGTGATGGATAAGTGTGCTACCGGTCAAGATGATATCTTCATGGCTTGGAGCAAGTGGTTTCCCATCACTATCGAGGAAGTAGCGCCCGCTCTGTTGCAAGAGTTTGGTTACAATAAAAGCTTGCATACATCTCCGGATCAGATCAGATTTCGATCGCTTGTCTTTATTGGTAACTAAGTGGTACACTGATCTATAGTCTGTAGCATCATAGATTCCTTCCTTATTGAAGCCGAGTGTCTCAGGAGCCTGAGTTTTGGCCTCACATTGTAGCAGTGGCATTATCTCCTTGAGCCTGACATGGGAGATCTTCATCAATATTCTGTATGCTAAATAAGGGTTCTTGCCCATGTCCAGAGCAGAAAACGTTGGCAGAATAGGGCACTCTTGCCAATGACAACCTGATAGTCCTTGTTTCTGACACTCCTCACTGCAAAAGATCACCTGAAAAAAAAGGGGTATGAGAATGGGAATAAAAATATTATCCTAAGCTTACTGGGGTGTGGCAAAGTTGATACGGATCCATTATAAATGGGGGTCAATTCTCTCTTTCAACTCATACACAGTTTAAGGTTTTCATATTCATAAAATATAAGATTTGATGTACAGTATAAGAATATCAAAAGAAAATCCTAAGTTCCTTTTCATGTTTGCATTTTAAAATTTCTTTGATAAAATTATATACAATTCAGCTAAAATTTTCTCGATAAAGTGAGAAAGCGGAAGAGATGCTGTCACAGGCAATGCTAATAAACATTACATTCAGGATGATTTTGGAACCATTAATACTTTAAAGCAGTCATCCAGACTCATCCTACATGCTTAACCCCTAGGCTTCAGGTGACGTTCTGTGATGTGTCTGTTGAGCTTCAGGTCATGTCACATTGGGCGATTCCTAGTCATTACGACGATAATGACGATCACGATCATCATCACGATGATCGTGTGTCGGGATGCAACCACCCAACGCTGAGTGCCATATTCCTAGACACTTACATGAGCGTGTAAACACGGCAGCTCGTGTCGGATGGCAAAATTTTTTTTGGCCATGCGCGAATGCCAAATGTATTATTTCACATAATTAGAAAGACGATTTTGAGAGATATTTAGTTGTTATTTTATACCGGCACAATAATATATTGTAAATATATATTTTTTTATAAAATTGAACTTTATTATCTGTTCGAAACAAAATAGATAATTTTTTCATCTGAGTACTTGGCAACAATGTTTGCGCGCGGGTTATCAAACATGGAGGTAGTAAGAGAACGTTCTGCAGCTCTGTCTGAAACCCAACGTATGGCACTTTTGCGCCATATTGAGCAAAGGCCAATCATTGAGGATAGGTCTACAAGCAACACCATAAATTATAGGAAAAGAAAGGCCTGGGATGAAATTACTGCTTCATTCAACGCCAGCTATGATCCACTTGTTTTACCTGGTCCTACCCCAGGGCCATCATCTGTGTCTTCTGCACAATTTACTGAAGTTCCATCTACTGTTTATCGACCTCTATTTTCACCCTCTGTTCCTGTCTCACAAGTCATTGTTCCTGCCTCACCAGTCATTGCTCCTGCCTCACCAAACATTGCTCCTGCCTCACCAAACATTGCTCCTGCCTCACCAAACATTGCTCCTGCCTCGGCAGTCAATGCCCCTGACTCACTATCGAGTGATATTGCCTCACCCCCTCCTGCTCATGCTTCCAACCAACACCTTTATTCAGTGTCCAGGGCATCTGGTTCTCGGCCAAGGAGCAAACCAAGGCGAACTAGGAGGGTGACAAGTGTCTATGAAATGTGTGATAAAAGACAAGAAGAGTTACATAAATCTAAGTTGTACAGATTGAATAGGGAGCATGAGGAGGAAATGAAACTGAAAAAAGAAATGATGTTAACACAAAAACTACAACAAACTGCAATTGAAAAGACACATGAAAAATTGAATAATTCTTTGGATTTGTTAGATAGTGTTTTAAGGAAAGCAGGAGCTGCATATGATGCCATGGCTAAAACATATGAATGAGGTTGTAATATTTCAGAAATTGGCATCTAAAGTAAAAGTTATTCGTTCTATTTCTTACATATTCAACTAATTTTATTTGAAGGAAATAAACATACATGTGTTTATTTTGACAAAGGTTTTTTTGTTTACAAAAGCTGTCATAAGTATGGCAGGTAATTATTTGTGGGGGATGAATATTTATAATATACATAAAGGCTGTGATTTTCAAAAATTGAATTTATTTCCTGTGATAAAGAATAAAGTTTTGTTTGGTGTATACAGGTATTTATAAAATATGTTATACTGTGCAAAGTACTGTATAGAGGATATGTTTCTTTTATTAAATTTTATGCATTGATATAAATAGCTGTAGAGAAGGAGTGAACCATTTCTTTTTGTGCCCAAGATAGAAATATTTTCATGTCAGTTACAAATATTGTCCAAAGTATGGCAGTTAAGATTTATTTTTATATATCTATAATATAAGCTGTGAATTTCAGGAAATGCAGAACTATGTATAGAAAAATTATAGTTTATTTTCTTAATTTTTACACATTTATTAAAAAAATAAATGTATATTTCTTTCCTTTTGTTGTCTTCATAAAACCTCACAGGTGAATTACCTTACATATTGAGTTATGCTCCATTATTAAAGACCACAGTGAAGTAAAAAAAACTATATTACTGGGCCAAAAACTGTGATATTTTCCTTGTTAACTCAAGATAGAGTGAGCTCACTTGGCTTGCCTCATTCCGGAAAACATAAGTGAATTTCCCGGTTCAGATGGTTGAAATTTTATTACTACTACGACAAAAATATTGTATGACTGAATAAAGATAAGAAACATATCTTAAATGATAACAGAAGTAATTGTTAATTGAAGATGAGGCTCACAGCACAGACAGCAGTTGTCATCGAAGTCGGAGCTGTGACGTCAACATTCCAATAATGTTTCAAGTTCATAACAGTGTTGTGAAAGTTCATTTATCCGTATTAACACTTCTTTTAATTGTTCTTATCAAAAAAAATAATATAATTCGACGTAGACATCTGTAATATAAAGTACTGGAAGAACTTTCATAAAATATAATGATGATTATTATTTGTCGTAAGGCAGCTATCGGGTGGGGGTAGCCACCCGATGTTGTTTCCAACATTTCAGGGATATGCGTATGGTTCCCTTCCGATACCTCGTTTATCGGGATGACTATTAATAGACCAGCACGAACACTATCAATTGGCATTGTGCTTCGTAATGACTATCAATCCGGCCCTTATGTTTTGATCCTTCCCGGGCCTGTTTGAATAAATAGGGCGGTCCTGGCTAGAGTATGTTGCCAAGTACAGTAGGTATTTATCTTTCACTCATTCACACATGAGAGCCTCCCAGTCTCTTCTCATCTTTTGTGATGTAGGAATCTTGCCCTTGGACTTGACTCACTTCACCATGTGTTTCTACCCCCCAACACCCAAGTACAAGCCTAGTATATTGTGATCAATTACTGGAGCAGTAATTATGATTGTTAATAGTGCAATTAGTAAAACAAGTGTCCTGTACTTCATACTACAGGTACCTACAAATTAGTGTTGTTAACCTCATACTGTTGTGTCATACATACTCCACTTTACGAACATTCTTGACTCTTCCTAGCCCGTGTTGGCAACCTGTGGTAAGGACATATAATTATTTCCTGTTTATATCTTATTTATTTCTTGTTTATATCTTTTTGCATGGTCAGTTTGTAAGATTAGAATTAATTGCTTTTTATTTGTTTTCTAAATGTTCCTGAATATGCCCACTTTGGGGGAGGGGGGGGGGTGCCAACCATAGCTCGAAGCCCAGGAGTGTTAAAAGGCAAAAACTAAGTTTATGTTCATCTTAATGCCTGGAAAAAATTATTCTACTTTTATAATTTAAAGTTTTAAAGGGTTCATTTAAGTACAGTTAGAGAGAGTGATGGGCAGTGGCAACTTGGCTCCTCTGGACCCATATAATACGTGATCTGTAAACGCTAGAATCAAAGGCTCAGAGCCCAACCATGAACAGAAGCAGTCACCAGTGGCAACTTGGCTCTCTTATAATCAGAATTAGATATGCATGCAGCCCTGTAAGAAAGCTTATTTTTTTCACTTTCACCAATACAGTACAGGAATACTGTATAATAGTTCAAATCTATGTATATACCGAACAACCACGTGGACATAAGGCATCCCTGTCTAACACCCACATTTATTTTCTTAAGTTTCATTTTCTTTCCCATTTACTCTTAATGTTGCCCTGGTGTTCACATAGAATGCTTTTACTCCCTTTAATAGCCTTACCCCCACCCCATACACTGTTACCTCCCACAACACTTTTCTGTTCACTGTATAATATACCTTTTCCAAATATACTATAAATCATTAAAACCATCTGTATGTAATAAAACCTCACAAAATCTTATTCAACCCAAGAAAATGGCAGATTAAAAAAAAAAAAATGTTTGGTTTAAATCGGCCAACCCTGATGCAGTCTGTCCTACATAATTTCCATTACAGTTACTACATGGAATGCAGTAAACACTTCCATTTACATTCAAGGTTGGGCTATTCTTGATTTAATATGTTGGTAGTAGTAGTCATACTTAAAAACAACATTAATTTTTAATAATTTAAGGGACTGAACTCACGGGACAAATTCATTGCGATAAGGCAGTCAAAATATTCTTAAATGTAGGAATTTGCCGCCTGGTTTGAGTCGAATGAAAGGATTTTTTAGCCCTTTTAAAAAATGATCAACAAACAATGAAGGCTACCGAAGTTTTTGTGCAATGGACTGAATGTGTTTCAGTTCTTCATCAATTCAGTGTCACAAATATGCAAACATCTCAAAAACATAGCAGAAAAAACTGACATTTTGGCAGATTCCAGGATTCAATTATATATATATATATATATATATATATATATATATATATATATATATATATATATATATATATATATATATATATATATATATATATATATATATATATATATATATATATATATATATATATATATATATATATATATATATATATATATATACACACAGTAATGCCGCTAACGCGTCAATTGAACCCACAGGGATTAATTCAATAAGACTGGCCTGACCCAAAACTCCACTTTTTGATGACACACAACTATGTTGTAGTAAAAATTTTATCTTAACTTTATGATGGTATGCACACACAATTAATAATTAAGAGAAATATCAATAATATTAGGTTTTTTAACACTTGCATTAGTAGAAAAGATGGCTGGGCACACGGGGATGGGGGTTGGTTCCGAGGCAGAGGGCAGATTATTGGCCCTCACCTGTATCACTTGTATCAATTGTATCACTATCCACCACAGAGGCTTGCAGGGCCTCTTTGTCAAACCCCTCAAAGGCCATATAAGTCCATATCCTCACTATAATTATCACTATCACTGACTTGGGCCGGCTGTGGTGGGTGGCAGGTGAAGAACTCGGTAATGTTTTGATGACTGGCCCAAGGTTAAAAATGCTTTGAAAACCTTTGATCTTGATGTATGATAGTTATTTTGTGGGTCCCTTTTTTCTGACCTGACCTGTCTAGTCACGTCATCACCCTTCTCTTAAGCTCCTCTACGTGTGTGTTGGTGTGGGGATTAGTGGATGTCATCATTATGACCTGACCTCATGTTTTTAGGTCACCCTGTATATTTAAGCCTCTCTCTGTCCATGTAATCCAGTTGCCTCTGAAGATGTCTTGAATAAAGACGAAAGCTAAGGTACTCCGTTGTTTCCATTTTCCCGTGTGATTTTATCAAGATCTTATCCATCAGTGTGGATACATGATATATATATATATATATATATATATATATATATATATATATATATATATATATATATATATATATATATATATATATATATATATATATATATACGGTATATATATCCCACCTGGGCACAGGTCATCAACCCACAACGGGGCCTAAGGGCGGAAAAAAAACATGAGTAAAAAGAAATTAAAAATAGAAAAGAAAAAGGTTACTGTATATTAATTTACACCACAAAGTTGCTGGAAAACCAACTTTTTGAAGTGAGACAGATTGTATGAGTATGGAAACACAGAAGAGGACAGAAGGACGTACGATAACGGGTTATTCTAGTGTGACCGACATCCACAGAGAAACAGTGGGCACCGCGGGCAAGACGAGTGTTACGAGACCACGGCCTTGCCGGCGGTACATTGCCCGTTAAAGTACCTGTAAAAGAGAGAGATTGAAGCAACATTGCAGCAAAGAGAGAGAAGAAAAATTATCAACTAATGGAGGAGAGTTAATAAGAAGAAATGCTTTTGATTCCACCCTGTCTAACAGTTGGACAGAAGAGCCACCCCCGATGTGAGAACAGTACTCCAAGTTAGGACGAATGAAACCCTTATATATACATGAAGCAACTGCTCAGGAGTGTTGTTTTATCAATGGCTAAATTCTTGAGCTGAGCAAACTTCCTACTTAGGAATTTTGTCATTATTGTTTCTTGTATGCATTGTAAATAGCTTATATTAATTATATTGTTATTATACCTGTTGGTTTTGCTCCACCAATATCTGAGATTAACCAGTCTTTGAAAACTTTAGTTATATTAGTTGAGAACCCAACACAAGGAAGAGTTAACGTAAAACTTGTGATACAAATGCACTGTAGTGTTTTGGAATTCCATTAGAAATGTTTATTGAAATTATTGAAAATGAATTTGTGAATACATCTGTACTATCATAGACTTTTACAAGAACAATTAGTCAGCCCACATTTGGGTTTGGTTCTATCTTATAAATTTAGCAAAGTCCTGTGAACTAAAATGAAAACTATAGATCTTACCATACTACAGCAAGGGCAGGGGAGAGGAGTCAAACACCTTGTCAGACATACAGTGCAATAAGTTTTCATGTCTTCAAAGAACACCGCACTGCAGTAACCTTCATCAACACCCAATATCTCTCCTAAAACCAAAAATTTTGTTAATGCCATGAAGATGAAATATAAAATTCCTAAGTCCTATTCGTTAACAAAATAAAAGTTTTAAATTTAATAGCAAAACTAAAGTTCAGTACATTACAAGTATAATTTATCATGCCCCTTCCCCTCAAAAAAGCATGCCTTAATTAACAACATACAGTATAGTATTGTACTGTACTGTCAATTCATAATAACATTTAGCACTACCCATATGGACAAATATTCAAGACAATGCATTGAATGAATCATCCCATGAAATAATGATGATATTTTTCAAGATATTTCATATCTTACTTACATCAACAATCTAAATATTTTTTTACTTTACCTGGATTAATGTCTTTGGCAGCAATCACATGCCGTCCCATGGTTTGTGAGAAGGTCATTTTGACAGCACTGCTCAGTGATGGGATAGTGGGGTTGGACTCAGCTAAGGGTGGAGGATTGGGAATTTCAAATGCAAAGTATAAATCATCAGGGCCTAGAGCTTTGGCTGAAGGATTCACCCTTTCTTTATCAGCTGAGATCAATTTTTGGCACTTGATTTTCATGTCTAATAATTTTTTGCAAGATGTTTGTGGATACCCAAACTTCAGAGCCAGATCAATGTCATCTGAACACTTTTCATATCGTTTTATTTCAAACAAAACAACTGATCGGGACTTAAAAGCTTGAGCCAAAATGCTTTCTACTTGATTAAGACTCGTTGCCCCTTTTCTGGGACTACTTTCACTATCTGGGTGTGGTGCTGATAGTATAGCCAAGTTGTAATATTTAAGTGCCTCACATAGTTTGTGTTTTCTGAAGGCCATATCCCCTTGTCTGCAGTATTGAGTAGCATTACCTTTTGACTTACTGGGAAAACATAGTTTTGGTGCCAGATAACTGTGGGCTTCATCCAGTCCCCAAATATATGCAAACATTTCCTCTGTGGTATTCTGTGGGACAATTTTTTTCTCCATCTCTTGCATCTTATTACGTTTAAGCATTGCAAAAGTAAAACACCGAACTAAGTATTCCATATCATTTACTTGGGCCATGATGATGTGTTGGCTTCTTGAAGGTCACTAGCACAAAAACAATACCTGAAAATAGTATATTCTACTGTTAAGATCCATCATAAATAGATTAGTGGCCATCCCTGTATTATACCCAGGGCTTCTCTAACCTGTTCAACAGTTTGCTATTGCTGATTAAATGCTTTAATGATGTACAAAGAATACTAAAGGTGAAACACTTTCATGAACCACATTAACATAATGCTGCAGAGTTTATCAGAAGTATTGTAATAACCACATAACAGTATTTATCACAGCTATTGTAATAATCATGTAAATAACAGTATCTATCAGAACTTGTAATCACCAAATAACAATATCTATCAGAATTACCTGTAAAGTAATACAGTAACCACATAATGATATTTATCAAACCTATTGTAATGACTAGAGAACAGTACAGTAATACATGTACAGTACTGTGTATCAGAACTATTGTAGTGACTGCATACCATGTACTGTAGTGTAATAGTATTTATCAGACTTATAATAACCACATGTGTTTATTAAATGTTAATATGGAAGTACAATCTCTCCTCGACTTACGACAACCCGGACATACGACAGCCATGGTCGTATAAAATATTTTTCACATTACGTATTCTCAAGTCCCGACGTTAGTGATCGCGCTGTGTACTGACAAAATTTTCGTTTGTAATTCCCTATAAAATGGCTGGCAAGTGTAAAAGTGAGAGTTCTCATGGTTCTAAGAAGAAATAGAGACACCCATTTTAGAATTTCTATATACGTATTATTTTTGCCTTTTCGACTTACGACCTGGTCGTCGGGATGGAGCCCTGTCGTAAGTCGAGGAGAGACTGTATGTAGTAAAAGAATTATGGAGGAACTACAGTTACAAAGGATCAACAATATATTTAATAAGAAGGATCAGTCCTTAAATCATATTCCCAAATGTTTATGAATGACATGGAGATATTTGGGTACGTAACAAGTTAAGACAATGTCGCAACAATGCAAAAGATCTGCACAAGCTGTTCAAATGGTCCCCAGACTGGCAAATGTTCTTTAAAATAATGAAATATAAGACAGCATAGAAGTTGCCAAACACAAAACTTACCTACACATGCTTAAAAAAAAATAATAAAATAAAAAAAATAAATAAATAAAATAAAATAAATAAATATTTTAGAAAGGCAGTTAAAATAATAATAATATGCAGCCACATTTTTTTTTCTAGTGACCTGCTCCAGCAGATACTGTATTGTGTGTAAAATTACACCAATACTGGCTCACATTTGGGGCACTTCAGGTCTGCCCAGCTATGAATGCCTGATTGTACAGTTGGGGAAAAGAAATGTGTAAAGTGCAGTCCCAGCCATACTGCCTAGATGCTTTACCATAGGCTTGGTATTCTGTGGATTGTAACCTCACTGTCCCTTATGGGCCATCATGCTTCACTTTGTTATAATTAAACCAGTGAAATTTGTTTGTTACAACCTTTATTTTAGGTAAGCTCTAGTAATATTAGTGTGACAATGGGATTATATTACCATATGACCATCTAATGTATAGTTCCATGAAATAACTTTACCATTATTGAAGAGAAACTAAAAGTCTGGCAAACATCAAAGTTCTGTAGCCAAACTATGAATTGAAAAATTAACTATAAGGCTTGAAGTATTATCCTCTATTTAACATGAACTATATTTGTGAATATAGTAGTATGGTTGAAACTCCATAATCTGGATTTCCAAAAACTCACATACAGTACTGTACAATACTGTAATTTGGACTCCTTATGGAAATACTGTACAGTACAGGGTAATGCATAAATGTTCCAGATTATTTATTTTCCTTCCACATTTGACATTCCCTGATTTACCTGTAGTGAATGAGGTTACAATTACCAAGAATATACAGGTACAGTATTACAATACAGTACTGTATAGACATGACTGCTGGATATTGTACTCATTCTTTATTGTTTCTCTGCATACTGTACTGTATTTTTGGACATTTGAGATAACTGCAGTATAAGTATCCCTTGATATACAAATGATCACCCTATATAATTAACTGTATACGAAAATTTGCTTATCCAAAAATATTCTTGCACGTCTTTCTTGCTATCCAAGAGCAATATTTGCTTATACAATACTATATGGCCCAATCAAAAATAAATGTCACTTACTCTCCAGGGAGTCAGCTGAGATGACATATACCTCCCCTTAATCCTCCCATATCAGTCTGCATTCATGCCATCCTTTCATGAATCTGTACATTTGACCAAGTAGTGCCCTCTGAGATGTTTATACACTTTGATTAGGTCACCCCTATCCAGTCTGCAATATAACCTAGGCAGTTGCAGGCATTCTAATCTCTCTGGGTAACTGAGGTTCTGTAGAGCAGGCACCAGTCTGGTGGCTCTCCTTTTGACATTTTCAATCAATTGACAGTCTCTAGCATACATCAGGGACCAGGCAGGGTGTCAGTACTCCAGACGGTGAAGCGCCTCACTCTTGAAGATCATGATGAGTGACGAACCATCCAGGAAACCAAACGACCTTTTTATAAGACCTACTAGCTTTATTGCCTGATTCACCTTCTCACAATGGCCCGAGAGCTAAGTTCATTGTCGTCATACACACCCAGGTCCTTTTCACATTTGGTCTCAATTAATGGAGTTTCTTCATCCTATTGGGACATGTAATATGCCTCCTTACTGTTGGTGCAACCCAGGTGCATCGTCTTGCACTTCGTGACATTGAATTTTAGCAGCCATTTCTTAAACTATTCTTGAAGCTGACCAGAGGTATTTCCGTAGCTCTTCACAGTCTGTTTGGTTCTTATTTTTCTAAATAACTTGGCATCGTCTGCAAAAATTTGTATGGAGGAGTGTATAGCTTCTGGCATATCATTTATGAAGCAAACAAACAAGCAACAATGGAGCCAAAATACTGCCCCGTGGTATCCCACTTGTTCTGCAGTATAACACTATGACTCTGTTAGAGCACTACACTGCATTCCCACACACTCAAATCCACGGTAGAAACATAAATCATCCAATACTAACGACGTGTACATCTCATATTAACTGAGGGTGATGTGTTGAACAATACAGTGTAACAACCAAGGTACTGCAATATAAATGGTACGTACCAAATTAAAAAATTTTATTATAATTATTTTTTTAAATATCCCTTTCACCACTTATCAGCTTACTAGCCATTTGGGAGCTCTATCCAGTGTTAGTACAGGAGGAAACCGGGGACCGGGAACCCTGTGATGTTTGGTAGTGAGGGTCACACTGGATAACACCCTTCTCACGCGTGGACCGATCGCCCAACCGGCGAACGAGCCGATCAGTGGTGAAGAGGATAAAAGTAAAAATAATAATACTCAGGTGAAATTGATGATTAGGTAGGTTAGGTTACATAGGTCAGTTTGGTTTATTTTATGAATGCTAAATTTTATAATGTAGTTGTATCTGATACTGTTTTTTGTAAAGTTACCAGTCCAATAAATACAAAACTATCATATTTTAAATGGAAGTCACAGAGATTTCAATATAACTGCATTTACTTAATCTCTTCACCTCTGGACAGCTTACAAGCCGATTATACCACAATTTGGAGAGCATGTTACTTGTAACATATTTTTTGAGTCTTTTGAGCTCCATTTATACAAGTTGGAAATGAATAGGATAGGTTAGTTTAGTTTAAGCTGAGCCTACTGGGGGTCCCTGGGGGTTAGGTTTGGTGACTGGTAATAAAGTCACAGGAAAAACAAATCACAGGAAAAAGTCACATTTAAGGTTGTAAAACTAAAAATATTTTAAAACAGTTATTAACTGACAATACATGACTTTTACATTTTGACAACACAATTTATATATGATGCACGTAGGTTAGGTGACTTTTTCTGTGACTTATTTTTCCTGTGACTTTTTTTCCTGTGACTGACTTTTTTACCCTGGATTGGGGGGTGGTGCAAAAAACGTAAAATTAACGTCATAAAATGAGGGCCATATGTTGTTTAAAGCACACCAAAATACACTGGAAAAACATATTGGTCAACCCCTAGGGACTCATGTCCGATAGTAAAAATTTACCTAATTATTTAATAACAAATCCACATTTTTTATTATTGTGACCTTGACTTATTATGGTGACGTTGTAGTTATACTTTTCGATCAATATTTTAATGAAAATTTACTCATTTATTTTCCTTACCTTCAAAAACTGCAAGTCAAGTGCAGAAACTGTAATTCTCAGAGTTTTGTTCTCCTCATTCTTCTCCCTGTAAATAACATAAGAACATAAGAATGGAGGAAACTGTAGTGGGCCTATTGACCTATACTGGGCAGTCCCGTTTACAACCAACCCCTATTGTTCATATAAGCATCCAACCTATGTTTGAAGCTATTCAGCGTATTCGAGTTAATGATGATATTTGGTAACTTGTTCCATTCATCCACTACTCTGTTTCCAAACCAGTGTTTACCTATATCACGCCTAAATCTAAATTTGTCTAATTTAAAACCATTGTTACGAGTTCACTCCTGGTTGGATAGTTTGAGTACCTTTGTAATGTCCCCTTTGTTTAGCCCTGACTTCCACTTATACACCTCTATCAGGTCGCCCCTGATAGAGGTGTATATTTAAACACGCAAAATATAGGTTTTTGTAACATGTAAAACTTTACAATAATGAGATAACGAGTATGTAACGTGTCAGTTCACAATGATAGGCGGGCAAGGTGTGAACAGGAAAAAATATACCTTAGAGGGCATTTACTCAGGATGTCCAACCCAGTATATTGTGTATGCATACCTTTTAGGGTGAGCTTTAGGTATAACTGCAGTTTTAATCCCAAGATTGTAGGAGGGGAGGGGGGTGATAACTAAAAAATTACTTATTTCCGACGGAAAGGAGGATAAGGTTAAAATTCAAATGAGTCACGCCAAATGCCATGGGGGAAAACCCAGATTTACAATTAAAAAAAAACGAAACAAAAAATTTGGTAGTGAAACTGACAATTCTACCGAGTTTGTGAAATCTTGGAACAATCTGCCAGTGTTGTTACGGCACGAGTGTGAGTTCACTCAAGGTTCACACTTAACCAACACTGGTGCAGATAAAAACACATTCTGGAGCCAGGTTATGCCAGTAATTGTCAAATGCGTGTAACTGGTTCCAAAAGTGTAACAGAGACGTGTCTGCCCGCCCAAACAAATCACAAGAAAGGGATATTCCTTGAACATGTAACACCTCACAATTACGAAAATAACTAACATCATACTTTAACAATTTGAATGATAATTATATACTCACACTTGCGGGCAGAATTGTGGCTCAGAGCACCAACAACCTTCACATAAGGCGCTGCACTGCCGATAACTGTCCTGCTGGTGTCATGCCAGTCGCTGAGTCACCAGTCTAGTGCATATCGGCCGCGTCCAGTACATGTTCCTACGATGGTACCACTCCAGTATTAAATTGATTTATGATTTTTTTGTAAGATATATCATACTCATACTTGTTGATATTTTAATTAAAATGTATAGTTTTTATTTATAACAATGAGCTTGTATGACGATTTTCCTGAAAGTCTGTGATGTGGTAATGTTTTCAGGTGTTGCCTTTTCAACGGCACGTCCCCAATTACAGAATTTATCATGTTTTATATTGTTTTTGCTTTTTAACAGAGATTAGCACAGGTTACTGACCCACGTCGGGGCCTGGGGGGCGAAATTGTAATAATAATCTAAAATTCTAAATAATAATAATAATTAGTTCATAAAATAAAATTTATAATAAGAACATAAAAATAAAATAATAATAATAACAATACTGATAATAATAATCCTGCAATAATAATAATAATAATAATAATAATAATAATAAAAAAATAAAAAAAAATAAAAAGATCAATACAGTAGTGAGAAACGATATATGTACTGTATGTTGTGTTGTCAAAGTAAAAGAAACAATTGGGACCCTGCAATTGTGTGTAAATGTGGCAGAAAGTCAGATGAGCAACCTGGGACTTGGTCACAATTTTCGTGTTGCCATATGGCAGCAGGGTCTACTTGATTACATAACTGTGGAATGTGGCCACTCTCCTAAATGGGGCTAGAAATAGGAGGTACCCTTGTAGGGTTATGTGATACTGGTTCACACTCAGGATGGGATGGAGAAAGGAAGCTCACAATGTGCTCACTGTATACATATTGTATTGGATGTACAATGCAGCTTGTTGCTGGGTAGGTAGCATGGTAATAAGCGTTGAGTAGAGAGAGCTGGGTGGTGAGGGTGCCCAGAGTGAGGGCACGCGTGTGGGGTTCAAGGTGTTTGGTTCACACTCAGGATGGAATGGAGAAAGGAAACTCACAATGTGCTCTCTGTATGCATGTTGTATTGGATGTACAATGCAGCTTGGTGCTGGGAAGGCAGCATGGTTACAAGCGTGATGTAGAGAGAGCTGGTTGGTGAGGATGCTCAGAGGAGGACCAGCCTGTGGGTCGCCATGCTCGCCGGTGGGAGCGAGGACCACCAGGCAGGCGGAGGAGGTGTTGCTGGCTGGTTGGTGTAGGTAGAAAGAGAGAGATCACCACGAGGTCAGGTCTTAAATAGCGGGGGTTGGCGTGGCTTAGTAGTTGACCCCCGCTCCGTGATGTATGGCGGCGCTGGTTGACCTCGACCACGAGGCACACACTGCGGAATTGGTGGGGTCGGCTACTCAGCTACAAACAGCGTTTGTAGGGGAGAAATCCACTACACGCGGCTTGAGGGACGCCAAGGTCGCTGGCGGGAGCGGCTGGCGCGGAGGAGGTGTTGCTTGCTGGTGGCACTGGGTAGAAAAGAGAGCTGGTCACAGCGGTGTCAGGCCTTATAAGGCGGGGGTAGGCGTGGGTAGATAGTTGCTCCCGCTCCGTGGGCGGCGCTGGAGGCGTAGGCTGGGGAATTCGAGAAGGTTCGGTGCTTGTAGGGGAGGAATCCACTACAATACTCCCCTTCCCCTCCGGGCGCGGCGGGAGGCTGGAGGTTGGCAGAGTTACGTGCCACTTGTGAGGCACATGTGGGACATAACGGCGAGGGCGTGGATGAGCCGGCCGCTGGTGGGGGGGGGGGACAACTCTGTCTAGATACACGAGATCTGTGGGAGAAAAGAGGGAGAAGGAGGGTTGTGGAGGCGGTGAATGTTGTGCTTCCCTCGCGACAGGTACAGAGTCCTCAGATATGCCTGCTGGGGTGTATGGGCCTGGGTCAGGAGCAGGGGCTGCGTTAGGAAGAGTGTCCATGACAGCAGCAGGGTGCATGGCAGCAGCAGGGTCCACGACAGCAGCAGGGTCCACGACAGCAGCAGGGTGCAGGACAGTAGCAGGGGGTACCTGAGGGAGAAAAGAGGGGTGTGTGGGTCCGCGTCTCGAGCAGGGGCCGCGTCAGGAGGAGCGGCAGGGGGTACTGTTGGGCCGGGGGCGGCGTCTGAGGCAGGACGGGTGTGTTGGGGTCGGTAGGACGTGGTGCTTGGGGCAGGAAGAGGAGCTGGTGTCTGCTTAGAGTAGCAGAGCTGCTCTCGGGTGTCTTACCTGCGGTGTAGAGACAGTAGATGTAGAGCCATGAGAGCTGCTTCTGTGTGGATAAGCCAGTCTTCCATGTTGCTTGAAGACTGGGAGAGTGATCTGTTTCTCCTCCATCCTGTGTGAGTGCGAATCTCCAGGGGTCACCATTTGTAGGGTTATGTGATATTGGTTCACACTCAGGATGGGATGGAGAAAGGAAACTCACAATGTGCTTACTGTATACATATTGTATTGGATGTACAAAGCAGCTTGTTGCTGGGTAGGTAGCATGGTAATAAGCGTTGAGTAGAGAGAGCTGGGTGGTGATGGTGCCCAGAGTGAGGGCACGCAGCTTGAGGGACGCCAAGGTCGCTGGCGGGAGCGGCAGCCGCACGGCTGGCGCGGAGGAGGAGGTGTTGCTTGCTGGTGGCACTGGGTAGAAAAGAGAGCTGGTCACAGCGGTGTCAGGCCTTATAAGGCGGGGGTAGGCGTGGGTAGATAGTTGACCCCCTCTCCGTGGGCGGAGCTGGAGGCGTTCGGTGCTTGTAGGGGAGGAATCCACTACACCCTCCCCTTGGTAGAACAAAATACGGTACAATCTTATTTTCTCAAGCATTATTATTGTGTGCTAACGTTTGTTAACCAACCAAACGGACTGTGATTCCGTGAGTGGTCATTGGTCAAACGAATCGGGTTTTGAGATGCAACGCCACAAAATGCAAAAGATGCACCTAAAATCAATCAAATTTGCCATACTGTAGATTTGTAAATTCTTGAGATATATAAACCATATGATTGTTATTAGCAATTTGACAGTAGTAAATACACATGCTTTAAATTGTCAATGTCCACTTTTTTAAAGGCTATAACATTCTTAGAATTAAAAAATGAAAACAAAATTAATCTGTGTTGAACTTCAATTATCCATAGAAATATATTATTTAGAGGTACTTTAGCTTAAGAATAAACCACTCAATAAGTAAACGCACGACCGAGGGTGTGAGTTCTTTCATAACCAGACTTGACCAACACTGGAGCAGGCTTAAGTACATTCAGGAGCTGGTGCATGCCCAGTACTTGCCAACAGTGCGTAACAGAGAGCCGGTACATGACTAGTACTTGCCAACAGTGCGTGACAGAGACGTGGCCGATCACCCAAGAGGCTAACGAGCCGATGAATGGTGAAGAGGATAAAAGTAAAAAAGTACACCAGGCTGATAACCTCACTTCAATCCTCCCTTTATCCTTCCCCTGAACCTCTTTACCCCCTGTCACTAGCTTTTATTAATTCATTCCAGGCTGACACAGTTGGTGTTTACTACAACAAACAGCTGAAGCTCGTTGGCTAGTAGCTTCGGGTAACCTCGGTGCAGTGTACTGACCACAGTCATACGTTAGTTAACGTAAAATCACACGATTCATATTACGCTCAGTAGCCCATAAAACATGTAGCTATAACTTCTGTATTGAGTCCCCCAGTTAAGACGTCCCACAGCTTCAGGACGCTTGAGTCCTCCGTTTTCTCTCATTTTTTCTTTTATTTCTTTTATCCTCTTCGCCACTGATCGGCTTGTTAGCCGCTTGGGTGATCGGTCACGTCTCTGATTACTTTTCCTTTTCATTTATCTTCTTCACCAAAAGATCGGCTCGCTAGCCGTCCGGGCGATCGGTCACGTCTCTGTCACGCACTGTTGGCAAATACTGGGCATGCACCGGCTCCTGAATGTAATTGAACCCGCTCCAGTGTTGGTCAAGTCTTGTCTTGAAAGAGCTCACACTCGGTGCCGTCACAACACGTCTGGTAGATTGTTCCAAGAGTTTACAACCCTCACTCCGAAAAAGTTTGCCCTCACAGTTTTCTGGACTTACGGCTTCTTCAATCTTGAACTGTGACTCCTTGTGGGGCGAGCGTCCCCCAGCTCCAAGTAAGGACACTCAACTGAGCAGTGCCCCCTGAGGTGCTTATACACCTCAACTAGGTCCCTCCTTGCCCGTTTGTAGTATAAGCTAGGCAAGTTCAGGCGCTCCAATCTCTCAGGGTAGCTGAGGTGCCGAAGTGCAGGCACCAGTCTGGTGGCCCTCCTTTGAACATTTTCAACCAACTGACAGTCCCTAGCATATCTCGGGAACCAGATGGGGTGACAGTACTCCAGATGGGGAAGCACTTCACTCCTGAAGATCGTTACGAGGGACGGACCGTCTAGATATCTGAACGACCTTCTTATAAGACCCAATAATTTATTTGCCTAATTTACCTTCTTCTCGCAATGGCCCGAGAACTTCAGCTCATTGTCAACATACACACCTAGGTCCTTCTCACATACAGTCTCACCAAGTGCAGTTTCTTCATCCCGTTGGGACATTTGATACGCCTCCTTACCGTTGGTACGCCCCAGGCGCATCCTCTTACACTTCGTGACATTGAATCTCAGCAGCCATTTCTTCGACCATTCCTGGAGCCCACAGAGGTCCTTCTGCAGCTCCTCACAGCCCGCTTGGTTCTTAATTTCCCGAAATAACTTGGCGTCATCGGCAAACATTTGTATTATACTGCCAGATTCTGGGGTCACTAAATCTAAGGGGATAACTTAACTCTAATCTTAATTTCTAAGGGTCGCTGCCACCAGACCCCCTCTGGACAGCATGTAGTTCGTTAGGTAGCGGGCAGAGTGGACTAGGCATGGGGTTAGGTTTTCCATTGACCAGATCGATAAGGGTAAAGAAGGGTGAAACCATAACATGTCTTACTTGATTTATTCCTTATCAAACATACTGGTAAAAAACATATACATGAATTGGCCTTCCTCAGAAGAACAACGGAAATGTGGTTACCCAGATGGGCCCCAGACTCTTACATTGATGGCGTGTCATCCACCTACTTATTGCATAACAATCTGT